GTTTTTTATACCAGGAGGATTGTTCCCCTGGGTGAGCATTTATATTTCGCGTCTTTATCCGCACCACTGTTCCGGCACTCAAGTATACCGTCAGGAAGATATTCGGATCCAGCCGGAACGCAAGACTCCGTCACGGGCTCCTCCCCACTTAAGCCTATGTGGGGCCACCCTGCGATCTCAAAGTTACTAGCTTTCCAGGCTAGCTCTGGAGTCGAATGAAGCGTAACTCACAATAAGCAGTGAAGAATCCATCCTCAATTGAGTATCAGGTACTGACATGAGTATCATGAGTATCAGGTACTGACACGAACCGAAAAGCCCATCTGAGGGCCGCCCGGAATGAGGCCTGGGTGGTTCCGGGCCCTCAACCCTGCCTGCATGAGTACTTCCCGAATCCTGACAGGGGAATTCATGCTCCTCGTCGTTTTGTATGTGGGTTTAGGAACAAGTCCTTCGCCCAATCCTGCTCAAAGGTCGGCGGGTAGGAGCCCAAATGGTGGGTCACCGGGCGAACCCGGCAACACGAAGCTTCGCAGTGCCTTCTCTCTGCGTCCAGCTTGGCGCTAACGATATGAGTACCGCTGAGGAAACACATACACAATAATAGGAAGAGCTGAGGAAATATACACAAATACAATAATACACAAATCGCCGGTTATGCAAATATTATTAAAGTGAGAGAGATGGCATAAAAATATTACATTTGTATAATTTAAAAAACAAAAATATACAGCAAAATTACGTTTGTCATCTTTTACAAAACCGTACAATAACGTTTACACAAAAGTTAAATCTTATAGAAAACCGTTCATCCGTACAAAATGTTTAAAGAAAAAAATTGGAGCGGTTTTTGAGAAAATTTTATTTTTAATTTCACAATTTTGAGAGAAGCTATTGCTGTTAATGACTCACGGTAAAATGATTAGTCGACAGAAAACTCAATTTTGTGATTCTATATCCTCTTTGGAGGTTCATTAAATAACCCTGGAGAAAGGTGTATGAATTAAATCATTCTCATCCGAGTGGCAATACAAAAATCTGTGATCTGACATATTTTCCAAAAACATCCCTTGCATGAATTATTTTGAACGTTTGCAAGTTATGTAACTACTATTGCATTTACTTTTTTCCGCTCATCAACAAAAAGCAAGATTGTTCAGGTGTAGCCCGTGGCAATTTAACGCATGGGCGAACCCGGCAGCCGCCGGGACCTTGCTCTCTAAGGGGGCTTTAAAATATTCAATACAAAAAACACGCCCTTCTAAAAGAATATTAAGTGGTTTGTTTGTTACTTTCTAACCTACTTCGTAATTAGAAAAAAAAATTTAATGATGCGGTGGAAATCGACGATTTCTCGAAAAAAAACAAAACAACAACGTACTGTGAGGCCCCGGTAACGAAAAAGTGGATAAATCTTGTTCCGGTGTAGTAAATTACTTCCTCAAACACATATAGTCAAAATCCATTGGTTTGTGTATATGGCTACGTATTGTGGGCCCTTTATACCGAAAAATCGCTTGATGGCAAAACGCCGTCTGTCCTTCCCTCTGTGACCAATGCTAGCACCTAAACTGTTCAAACAATTTTCTTCGAAGTTGATATTTCTCGATTGATTTGAAGAAACTCAAGGCCCTGCGAGTTTGAAACGGATATTTCGATTTTTTTAGTACTTTACATGAAGTCTCAACATTTTCAAAATTTTCTCTAAAATTGTTCCAATTTCTTTTTTTTATGAAACATTGCCTTCGGATGGCGAACGCTTAAAAGAACAGCGTAACTCTATTTCAGTTAAAAATTCCAAATTTTTCGAAAATTTCATAAGTTGAAAATTTTTTCAGTGACGTATTGCAGCTTCAATATTGAAGATACAGATTATTTTCTTTAAATATATTTCATTTAAAGTCGGATATAACGTCGATAAAATGATGAACTATAAATTGTTACAACAAATAGATATATTTTTCATCAATGTTAGTTTTATTGAATCTATTACATTTCGCATAAAATATTCAAAACTGTTCTATATTCTAGAATTCAATGAAATTGGCGCAGTATATTCTCGCTCATGCATCCACGAGGCACGGCTTGTCAGAAATTTTCTCTGCTTCTCTTTTTCCTTCAATCAAACATTGTCCGCAATATTATTGTTATGTGCAATCCGCTTGCCAACTAATTCTGACTTAAATAATCATAAATGTTAATGTATAACACATAAAAATTAATATCATTAGGTTTTCACTGCTTATAATTTATTTCTACTTATTCTAAATGGGTTTTTATCGTAAACATTACGTTATTATTTAGGGAGGTTCAATCGCACGTTACATGGGGGAATGGATATATATTAAAAATACTCCAAATTTGTATTATAAAATTTATGGGGTGGCCCCTTAGTACGTGTCTTACACGGCACTGAGATTCATGTGAAGTATGGTGATGGCATGCAAAGAATCCCCTAATATATTACTATATTTTTTTATTTGCCTACTTCTGATTTTAATTTCTTGCGAATTGTTTAGTTCTCTCCTTTGGCGCAGATACATTTCCGTGTAAAATAGGAAAAAACTATATCAGTGTTGGAAAGTGAGTTTAGATAAGTTGGACAAATATTTCATCGATATATTTTCTAAAACTCTTGAAGTTGCAAATTATTTCTTCGATTAGTAAGTATAGAACTCTACCCCACGTCTTGACCTACTTATGCAAGATGATAAACCCCCTTGGAGATCTTCCCTGCCACAAAACTGTACGGAAGAAAATACATTTCAAATAAATAATTATGTAAATGAAATGTTAATGTACCATACAAGTGTCTTGATAACTTAAATATGATGGAGTGAGGCTATTACAATTCAATTCAAACTCGAAGAACTTTTCCCTTTCTTTCTTTCTTTCTTTCTTTCTTTCTTCCTTGGATATTCTCCGTGACGTACTCCAGTGACGTACAATGTCTTACCGTACACTTGCCATATTAAGAGGCCAGATTAATACCAGAAGGGGCTCTAAGCTTGATCAAACTATGGGACCCCTTCAAAATTTCGAAATATTGATCTTTTGTATTAAAAAGGAATATTAACATTAGCTTTAGCTTTTCCAATTAAAATTTGACGCGCTCGGAAACATCAATCAATCAATCCAATTATAGATTAAAATATTTTTACATATTATCAATATAAAATTATATTAAAAAAATATTGGGGTCATGTGCTAGGTCTGCGTGTGCATTAAACCACTCTCAGCTCCACACATGTATAAAAAATATTGTCAACCCAACACAAAAAGTAACGCGGTGCTGTGCAGACAATCTTTCGTACATTAATGTTTGAATGTGTTCTCTCTCTTCTTGCAGATTAGCATAATAAGATGACTTCATCGACGAGTCTAGCTCAAGGTGAGGTACCTGAAGATTATTCTTGACTCATGCACTTTCCAGCTCCAAGGTCGAGTAATTTGGCTCCCGAGGACGTTGTTACTGTACCTACCACATGAAAATTAAACCACTTACTTTATTTCCATTATTCATCTTAGAAAAAAACATCTTCACCAATGACATTTCAATTTGGTAATACAAATTTATATTCTCAAAGGAGCCAGCATTTTTCGGACAAACGCCGAAGATAGCGTTCTAAAGAGGAGAGAGACGTATATTCCTATGAAAACATGTTGGATGTATTTTAATTTGGCAAGAAATACTCTACGGACTATTTCTTGTTCGCACAAGGTGAATCGTAATATTCTTGTAGTAAAACGTACAGCGGTGGAAGCCCACAGACTTCGAGGGCCCCAACCGCGGCCGCCTCATACAACGTGGCGGCTAAAGAGGTGAATAAGGCGCAGGTCAGCAAACAAGTAGGTGTTCGCATTGCACCCAAGCGTTAATGCTTATTACCTCAATAACGTTTATTCCTGACATGAAGCTATCTCTAGAATTAAGTTTGGTTGAAATAATACTTTCTACACTTAATTTAGTAATATTATAATATGAATATATCAATTTGGAAGATTTCCCTTCATAAAATCTTACATTTACGTCATTACAAGAATCTATTGTGAACTTATCATTGAAAACATTTTTGGAGCTGAGAAATTTAAGCTATGACTGTCCATGTGTCTTTAAACCCTTTGAGCACTAAAAAATTGTGGTAGTCCTAAATACAATGTACCCGCCAGTAGAGGATGGTAAAATCACACATCATGTTAACATTTCAAAGTCTCACGTATAATATTCTCTGGCCTAACAGACAGGAAGAATTTGTTTCCTGTATCCCCCCTGCCCCGAAAAAATTCACGGTACTCTTAATGATTATTCAGTTAGGACCAATTAAAATTACGATCTTCCTGTGGTAAGCATCGTTTTTAGTATATTTTATAAAAAGTAATATTTGTTATCTAAAACACCTTCAAGGATCCGAAAATATATTTTGCAACATTCATTATCTTTAAACATTTCGAAGGAAAGCAGAAAAAAGTGATTATTTTTCATTTCCGAATCCTTCAGCAACATTTGCCTCTAGCCTTGCTTCCTCAGAGAGGAAAAGATGACCTGGAATTAAAATAGGCAGGCTACGTTGCCTACCATTTAAAAAAAAATTGGAAATAAATTACTTCGTGAAACCTGCATAACAGACTCAGTGAGAAGAACTTTCGTATTGCCATTTCCAAATTAGGTGCTTTTGTGAACTTTGAAAATGTCAAAATTGATCTAACGTTCATCTTCATCGACCAGGATGCCTGTGAAAAACAGAATAATGAATATTATTCGGGTTTGAACGAAGAATAAAATCATATGTGTGTCATACATGTTGTGATACATGAAAAATAATTCAAACGAGAAAATTGATCCACAAGTGTCTCTTTCTGACAATTCATATCGTGTATTAACTGACCTTTTTGACAATTACTCAATCTTCTTGCCGATTCACAAGTTAATTAGTTTTGTGTAAAAATGTACATAAATCTGCGATAAATACCATACTTTTTCACGAGCGATAAGATTATTTTTTTTTTACTTATGGGTTATCAGATGGACAACTGCTAATGGTGGTAATGAGTCAAAATCGTCTGCGATGCTCAGTGCTCGGTTACACTTCGTGTTCAAGCGAATAGGTGCCTAATAACGGTCGTAGCGAGATTATTATTAGAAAAGAATGCAATAATTCAAAGAGAAAACGTAACATACACGCATATATTATTGTAAATGAGCAAATATTGATTCCTCGAATTAACGGATGTGTATTGGAATCGTCGAAACTACTTCCGCCGCCTTCCATTGGTGGGGAGTACTAGAGGAAGAAGAAGAGACCTACCACAAGAGAGCGTAGTAGAGCGCATACTGATTGACAATTTTGTATGAAGTTTTGATTATTGTGTGAGCTTAGGTAGATTTTTCCGGTTTCTGTTGGTACGGATCAGTGGAGTAATATGTTGAGTACCTTGAAAATATTATCGTACGTCAGGTTCATATGGGAGAAGAAAAATTAGTCGTATATTCATACAAGAAGAAATTCCACCTTAATAACCTATGAATGTGACAGACGATGTAGATAGATGAACGAATTGTTAAATGTGTTTATTTAGCCGTAATGCTGCATAATGTTGAATGTGTCAGAGTGTGTTTGAGGGCAGAATGGCTGGCACGAAGAATACAGCTCATGTGGTACAGCTGAAACCAGTGGAAGTGCCTAAAAGCTTGCAGGATGGCGAGAAATTCATCAAATGGGATGAGGTGACATTTAATTTTCTTTGAATAGTTCTGGACTAGCACCTTAGAATACTGCATGCTCTTTTATGAGCCTTCTAAAGTACTTGAAAGAACCATTTTAACAGACAATAAAATGATCATTTTCCCTAGAGCAAATTTTAAAAGTTTCATCTTTAAATTATTTTTTGAAGTTACATTAACAGTCATTGGAAGCTTATCAGTGTTTGAACAAGTGAGCATTAATCTAGGCTTTGCTTGCTTGTGCTCTTCACCCTGTGGAGAAACTTTTTCTTGAATGTCGCTTGAATCTCATGTTTACATGTGTTCTGCTCTGCTTGCTAAATAAGATATGATTAATGGAATATTTGAATTGTAGATTTCTTGAGCACACTCAGCAATGTTTAATGTTTGCTGAAGAAAGATATGTTATCTTCAGAATGCAGCCAATATTTATTTAACTATTATTATTTATATACCAGGATTCTGGAGTTGGCACGCCTGTCACCCTGCGAGTGGACAAAGATGGATTCTATCTCTATTGGATGGATCAAAACAAGGTAGTGCAATTAGCTCCCCTTAACAAATTATCCAATGCAGTTTTCTCATAATTTATTTTAGTTATTTTTGTTTTACGAGTAAAAAGTTAATGTATAAAATTTTAAGCATTTTTTTACTAGCATGTGTTTTTGTTATTTATTTTGGGGTAAATCCACATGTATTAAAATTCATTACTTTTTAATTAGTATTAACTATTTTTCTGAGTAAAGAACAAATTGAATTCCAAGCATCATAACTTACATTGTGAATTCTGTTCTGCTGACGCTTAACTGTTGTTAAACTGCAATCATTCTGGCAATAAAAAATGTAAGACATTTTTATTAATTTTTACTCCTTGTGTTTTATTTATTTTCGTTCTTAACCTACCTAAAATTACCTACCTTACAATGGTGGCTTTTTTGTGAAGTTCCTACTCTGTGTAATTTGATTAACTATAAACTGGTAAATATAAAAGAGAGACATTTTGCCAACCAAATAAAGAAATAATATTGTATTAAAATTAAAAAGTAAGTCATTCATTAAGATACTAATGCATTTCAATAAAAACCACCACAAGGCCAAAAGAGACATGGAATCATCTATTTAAGCGCTGTGATTGATTATTGTATATGAATATATTACTTCCTTTCATTGAAAAAAATACTTGGTTAAAATTTAGTAACAGTACACCCTTAGAGAAACGAGGCGGCTGGGCTTAAGCCTAAATTACTGTATGTGCTCTAATAGAAATGAATAAAACTTATGGATAGGCGATTTTCATGGTTCGCCCTTCATATGCTTTGTCCCCACCACAATGTATCGGCAATTTACTTTCAAAGGCAAGTTTTCTCGCTTTGCTTGCCCGAATCCAAGTCGTGGCGGGGCTCGAGCCTTCGGCCCTCGCATTCACTATTAACATCCTCGAGTCTAACCAATGCATAATTACCAATTCGCTTTTCAAGAAAGACCCCAGGATTCTAACTGCCTAGTTAACGCCGGAACGGTGAGAAGGGCCGGTTTAAATGTCTTCCCTAGGTTGTACCGTATACTACATTTCAGCCAAATATTTTGGTTCAGAAACTCTCTTGTCAGATGCTTTTTTTGTCTTTTTTTTTTCTTTTTCTTTCTGTTTTCACTCACTTTTTGTTATACTCATTATTCTTCTCCTGTTTATTTTTGATAAATTTCTATTTTCAAGTGTCCCTGACACTCGATACTCTCTCAAATAACTTTTGAGAGAAATTTTCTCCCTTAATCTCTTTTAAGATATTTTTTTCTTTCTTAACCCATAACCGGTGAATTTTCCAGTCCAAAACCCAAGCTTAAACAATATTTGCAAAATTGATTTATCACAACCTGTTCTGTGACACCCAAAGAAGCAGAGTTTTACAGCAAGATTATGTGCACTAACTCATTAAACCATAAATACCAAGAAAATTCTCTTGACAAGTTACTTTGTCATGCCTAATTGTGAGGTTTAAAAATGTGGGCCTACAGATGACACGTGAAGAAACTTAATATCTATACATCTGTGTCTAAAAATGTACATTTAGCAGCATTTAAATTTTTTTACTATATTTGTATGAATTTCAACAATGTATGTTCAAAATGTTGATTCACTCTTGACATATTTTATTTTGTCAATTTGACAAAAACTAATATTATAACAATTTACAATAACAATAGCATTTTTTTGACTTTGAATATCGCTCTAATGTTAATACGGCTTTAAAGAATTTAAGAAAGATTTTTATCAGATGTTTTTTTCAAATGCATATTTATCACATACAATTGAACTCTAAGGATTTTGTTTTCAAACTTTTCTATCAATCTTAAAATGTAAATAATAGAGTGCAATTAAAATTATAGATATTTGTATATTTTGAATGGTGCAACAACTTGCTTGATGAAGATACAGTTGTGACACTGATATCTAAATGAGGATATCTAAATGAGGACACTGATATCTAAATGAGGAGTGGAAATGTGTTGCAATGCACAATAGTCTTGCTAAGAAATGTTTCAAAATAAACATCCAAAAATTAATAGCACATTTTCTTTATGATTCCTTTTCAGTGACCGTTTGTGGTTTTGGTGGTGTAACGATTAGTTTGTCGGACTGTTATACTCAAGTTAGCAGGTTCAAATACGAGCAAAGCCATGAGTTTCTAATGGTGAAAACATCCTTTGTACGCCTTCTTTTGGAAAGGAAGTAAAGCCTACTGTCCCATGTAGATTTACTGCATGTAAAAGATCTTCAAGCCTTAAAGAAGCTTCTGAGCTAAATTCCAATCTCCTATTTTGTTGCCAGAGAGATACCTTCTTTTGCTGCTAGATGGCAAAAGAAGCATGGTGAAATTGCATGGTCAGGCAGAAGAGTTGGCTTGGTGGCCTGAACTTTGGCATGTAAATAATGTATCATTGTACTGAGTAGAATGTATTTGAGAATATAAAAAACATTTGTTAGGTGTAATATTTGATTTATAAAACTACCTAAGTAATTTATGAGTCTGTTTTTTGAAATAATAATCTTGATAAACAAAATTTATTTTAAGTGGTTCATTAGTGTGCAAGGAAATATTAAATTTGGGGAAAATGGAACAGTAAATTTAATTCTTGTGTTTAAACTTCACTCAAAGTATCAAATCATGTTACCTCAAAATTTGTTGTAAGTAAATTTCCATTTAGTTTGCTGACAAAGAGTTTAAGAAGTAAAAAAAGTTGGCATTTTTAATTATTATACCAATTACTAATACATATTCCCAAGACTTATTCCCATTAAAATAGTTATTATTGCAAAAACCCTGAATGTTTACATCCTTGATTTCAGAGTTAATTACCTTAGTGGAGGTTGTTGGGATTTACATGAAGTTTGCTGTGTTTTGATGTTTTTTATATATATATATATATATATATGAAAAAGGGAAATTATTCAAAAATGTCACGATAAGAAAATGTAAAATTTCCAGTAGGTGATCTAGGACCTTTATAATTTGGTTTAGGAAATTTAGTAGGGGAGTGTATGGAAGTTTTTGTCATTATCTTCAGTTCAGAATATAATTTATCTCTCAAGCATTGTTTTATAAGAGATTCATTGGTGTTAAAATTTCTTTGAGAGATGTCAGCATTCTTCACTTGGTCAAGTGGTGAGAGATGTCAGTATTCTTCACTTTTAAGTGGTGTGACTAGCGAAGTTAATTGCTTGAAGTATTATTGTATTTTATTACATGAAATTATTTATTTTCTTTGAAATATTCCCTTTTTTTGTACGTTTTCTCTGAATTTGTTCAAATTTCTATGTGACATCACAATATGGTATGTTTTTTCTCACGTTTCAAGTAACAGTTGCAATTTCTATTGGAATGAACTTATTCCCAAACAATGTTCCTCCTTATTAGGATAGATAATAACTTGTACAAAATTGTTGAAGAAAAGAGACAATGAACTGAGTAGGGAAAAGCAATTGAAAAACAAGAGTAAATTTACTTTCTGCTGAGGATAGAATAAGATTTATTTACTATAGTATTCAATGAAAAGGAGGGGGGGGGACAGTCCTACAGATGGTGTGGAAACACTGTGCCATGTGACAAACCAAGAAAGAACTAGATTAATATTTTTGTAAGTTTGAAATGAGTAAAGTTTTGTTTTTGTAACACAGCTGTGCTATTGGAAATATGGTCGGTGCAAATTCCAGTTGTTTCTAATGTTTGAAATACTGTAATGTAAAAACAATGAAGAAAATAAAATAATAACAATAATAATAATAATTATTATTATTAAATGAAAAGAAATAATGTTTAATTAAAAAGAAATTGAACGTAATGAGGAATGAAGAGGGGGAAAAGAAGCTACTGCAAGAAATGCATCATGTCACACACTGTAATGATGTGTGTGAATGGAATTACATGAAATGAAAAATAAATTTATTTGTCAAGTATTTAAGTCATTTATTTAAGCATCCCATGCTGGGTAGGTTGTGTCTCTCAACAATAAAGAGTCCCTTAAACTTGCTGGCATAAATATGACTTGATTTTAATATTTTCAATGTCCTGTATTGAAAGGCAGAAAGGCTATGAATGCTTTCACAGAGTTTTTTTCCTTTTTTTATTGGTTGAGTATTTATTTATATGGACGTAAGACCTACACAGAAATGTTTTGTACAGTGGTAGAAGATGGATAGCTTCAGTAACTGAAAAATAAATAACCAAGTTTACGTATTCATATGAAATATAAATTAAATGTATCTTAATGAAAAAGATATATCACCACAGCATAAATGAAAGATTAATTTATAGAGTACCAAAAATAATTTTACAATGAATATTATGTGTTAAATGTATGAAAGTACAATATATTTAAAATTTTAGTAAATTCATTCTAATTCAGTTCTACTATGTTAATGTTATGATGGTTGATAAATTGTTTTTAATTAGGATAGTATTCTTTTGGGTAAGTATTCTGTGAAAAAAACAAAAACAAAATATGGACAATATATGTTATCGACAGATTTGTACCACTATTATTACCATTTATGACTACTTCTGAATAATGGGACTTTAAGTTTAAGAATAATGTCAGTTTAGATGTAGAATTGGCTTTGTCTTTTATGTTAAAATCAATGGAATGTTTTAGAATTCATACAAAATTGTAATCCAAGTAACTTTAATAAAATTCTGGGATTATAAAATAATATATTTATAAAAAGAAAATAGAATGTGGCTAAAATACAAGGATATATTTGTTTCTTTCATTCCTGTCTTAAGAAATGTGAGCCTATAAAATCAGAGAAGTGTGAGCTACTATTCTATTAGTAAGATAACACTATTGCCACTGAAAAATCAATACTGACTTGAAAGACCTACTATAAATAGCATCTTTGTAACGATTCTTTGGTAAACTTAAAATACTGATACAACAATGAAAGGTTTACTATTTTATTTGTGTATATTTATTTTATTCATAAGTAAATCTATTTTATTATTAAATAATTATAAATTTCAATAAACCAAGTTTTGCATAACTTCTAGAGAGCATTGTTTAACATTTTAAGTTTTTGGTGATAAAGTTCACTTCACACACCCTTCACAACTTCAAAGAAGTTTTTAAAGTATTAAATTAGTTTGTTTGTTCATAAATGACACCTAGCCATTAGTGTATAATTAGTCAAAAATTTGGTTGTTGTGTGTAGACCTGAAAATGTTTGGCAGGGAGGGTATTGTAAGATCTTGAGAGAGAAATGAAATTTTTCATTGTAAGAAATCATAGTAAGTCATCACACATTATTATAACATAATTTTTTTGATATATTGCATTGTTTTTGTTTTAGGAGCTGGATATGTTGGATATTGCGACAATCAGGGATACCCGCACCGGAAAACACGCAAAGATTCCCAAGGACCCCAAATTGAAACAAATTGTCACAATGGGTCTGCAAGACACATTAGAAGAAAAGACTGTGACAATTTGTTATGGATCTGACTTTGTGAATCTTTCTTTCATAAACTTTTGCTGCACCAAAAAAGAAATTGCTGAAGTAAGTAGTCTTATTGGCAACAACGACAAAATTGCATTTTAGCTAGTTAAGTTAATTCTTGAAAATGAGTTGGAAATAGTGTGAAGTTTCTTGTTTAGGGTGTGGGAGGATATTATTTAGCCAACTTCCTGCTCACTACTTCATTAAAATAAACAGGTTTCCTTGGTTATGATATTGAATGTCTGTGCATAAGGCTGCGGTATAGACTCCAACTTCAATTCATTTTTTTATAAAGAAAACTACATTTTAATTTCTTTTAATATTATTAATTATGTGATAAAAAATTAGAATAAGATTGATTCTTATTCCCAATTTTTTGGTAGGTAGCAAATAAAAAAAAAAATTCAACCAATTTTTAAAATGTTTGAATTAACACTATATTATTGAAATAATTCAATGTGTAGTGCATGGAAATAATGGTTATTAAAAGATAAGTAGAATAGTCATTGTAGAAACAGACTGACCAGCAAACTCTCCATAACCAGCTTTCAAGAGATACTTATTTAAATATGTTCTTTATGTGTATAAAAGTCTAGTAAATGAGTATGGCAGTGAAGTGGATTTATGATTCCAAATAATTCAAACATATGCTGTAATAATATCTTGTATTCAATACCACATATAGTAATATTTTAAACTGATGTCTACGGAAGCTGCCAATTTGTGCCTCAATGTGAAGTCACACTTGATCTCTGAAAAGGGAAAGAAAAAAAGTGTAAAATTAGAATAAATAAATCACAATATGTTTTATCAATTTATATTTAATGTTTACTTGTTTAATGTAAACTTTATCTATTAGTATATTACAATCATAATTTAAGAGATAAAATTCAAATGAAATTTACTCATAACACATAGTATAACTGTTCATGTTTCTTTTTCAGCTGTGGACTGATGGGCTGTTGAAGATTGCTTACAATCTACTACAGTTGAATAGTTCCACCATCCGTTTCCTGCAAAAAGCTCACACACGACTGACTCTAATGGTTGATAAATCTGGACGGATTCCTAGCAAAAAGTAAGAAAAAAAACCCTTAACAGTTGCATACCAATGACATTCCCATTCCCCCGTGAACTTCAGGGAGAGGGGGTGTACATGGTGGACTCTAGAATAAACTGCAAATAAATAAGGAAACACAAGTATTTAACAATTTATTATAATAATTTCTTTAAGTTTTATGTTAAAATACTTTCAATTTCTGAGGTATGACTAAGAATATACACACATTTTACACATTTTCTGTACTTGTGGTCATTTATGGGGGCTCACGTGTCCTTTTTTTGGAGTAGTTCAATATTTCCTATCTCGAACTGCACACTGTTCTCTACATTGGTAGATACTAAAATGAGAATGCAATGAGTTGTCTGCTTCTAAGAGAATTCTGCAGTTTCCACAAAGCAATTACACAAGGCGATGGTTTCAAATATTTTGTGATCATCTAATAAGTGTTGAAAATGTAAACTATCACTAAGGGTTCAGAAAGCTTTTGATAATTACAGTCAGAAATGATGAAATAGTACTTTATTTATATACAGTAGATGAAACAGTAACTTCTTATATAAAGATAGAGGGGAAAATCTACACTGTGGTTCATCATTAATCCCTCCCTACTGTGGACCGATTTTGTATTGAAAAAAGAAGGAAAATTAGTTGAAGGATATAACTGACCAAGGATGATCCAACGAGTGGATAACAGGAACATTTCATTTGCTCATTTCATTTTCATTGTAATTGGAACAATTTAGGTGTTAGGAAACAGACTACAAACATTCACATAATCAAATGTACATACATGTGTGCCCAATAAATGTAAATTCAAACAAACATTTACATAAGTAGGAATGTCAATGTTACATGACAATTTTTCCAATTTTTTCTGTCTACTCTAAGAGATACTCCCACAACTTTTAACTTCACTTTAGATGTTCATGTTATATCTCAGATGCTATAAGGATTGGAGTTTATAGTGTATTTGAAATCCAAACTTTGTTTCCAGCATTGTGAAACTATTTGCACAAAACAAAGAAGACAGAAAAAGGGTTGAGAAGGCTCTAGATATTGCAGGATTACCTTCAGGAAAGGTGAGTGGATTAAAATTGATTATTATTTAATGAACACATTTCTCTCATGCCTTGATTTAGATGTCAGCATTTACTATTGCCTGTAATTATATTAATAAATAATACAATAAATAAATATAATAATATAACATTCAATTAATTTATCACTGCTTAAAAAATATTTCCATGTAGTATTACAAAAATGTATAATTCACATCTTTTTATTTAATATGTATATTTATTTTGTTGTTGTTGTTGTGGTCTAAGACTGAATTTAAAAAAATATTTCTGTAAATATTGAGGAGAAAAAAATTTGTTTCGTTAACACCGAACTGCCCTCCCCCCCCCTCCCCTAAGTTGTACAGGGTTGCCTCAAACATCCTATTCCCCTTTAATATTAAGTAATTTATGGACGACTCCATAGTGATGTTGAAATACAACTTATGAAATCAATCTCATTGGCTTCTCTTTAAAAGATGTGAACACAAGGTGGCATAAGTGATAGAACAGAACATGTATCATTTTCCGAATTAGGAAATCCTATATATGTATAAAAAAAATCTTTGTGCCACAAACAATCTTCACAGACCTGTGTAATACATGTTAATGCCTTATGTCTGAGGAAAAATAACCTCTTGATATTTAAGTTAATGGTAAGTCATCAAGTTTCCCTTCAACAACTTTCTTTTTTATGCAAGCTTTGTTTTCATTTTTATGCTATAATTGAAACATTTCATTACAAAAATGAAATTGATATTTAACAGAATTTCTGAAAATTAACATTAGTTGCATTGCATGCATGTGTTCTGTAAAAGGGTTTTCAAATTTAAAAGATATTCGGCATTTTGTCAGAGAAGTAATTACTATGCTAAATATTGGATTCTGATTATTACATGTGTATATTGGTGCTGTGTTTAAGTTGTAAAAGTATTATAATTGTTTTAATGCACATTTAATTTTTGACATTTACAGAATGATGCTGTTAGTTTGCAGAAATTTCAGTTTGAAGATTTTTTCAACTTCTATAAATGCCTTACCCACAGATCTGAAGTAGAAAAAATATTTGATGAACTGTAAGTTCACATATTTTAGTCTCTATACATATTTATATGTTTGGATTACCAAAAAAAAAGCTGTTCTATTTGCTTGTGGGATCTTGTAACTTTCAACTGGATGAGGGATTTTTACATAGTTTTTACAGTAGCTTTTACAAAGAAGATGACTGTTTCCTTAGGCTAAGAACTTGAATCAACAAACGTTTGCTCAATGCAATCATGTGGTCTGGGTGACCAATTTCTGGAAAGACTGTTGGGAGGAATGCAATTATATCAGGAAAATGCAGGGAAAAAACCTATCACATAAAAACCTAAACATGAATTCAAATCAAGCTTGAACTCTGACAAAAGAAAAAATCAAAAAATTTGATGTATTGATGTGACATGGTGAATAAAAAGAGAAAGTGACAGCCCTTTAACCTGTTTCGGTGAAGCATACATATTCCAATGGATGAGTTTTCATTTTTCTATTTTTTATATTCCTACTTCACATCACTTAATTATTGGATTACCAAAATAAATGAAGAAATATCTAATTACCTCATGAATGAAGTCTATTTTCTAGGTTTCACCAAATATTTCACAGAATATCTTTGGTGCGACATGGTGAGAAATGTAACTTATTCATATGTTCTTCCCAAGTACATACTGCTGTATTCTGCAGAATTGCTCATTTTGAGCTTTATTGTTAGAACTGATTTCTGTAACTCTTAAGGAGTATGTAATAATACCTGAAGTTATTTGTCAGATGGTTATTAAGAATCTACAAAAACACAGAGGTCAAATCAAACTAAAGTGAAGTGTTATAGAAATAATATTTTAAAATATTGGTTTATGATAATAGAGTTGATGTTAATAGTGTCAAAATTGGAAATGGATGATTCAACTGTAATGTTGAGACAAAATAGAGTTGCTAATATTAGAGGTTTTAGGCATTCAGGAATATAAATAACCCTTTTGTTCTTGTTTTAGTTCCTCTTTTCTTTCCCAGCATTGTCAATGGATCCAACATTTTCAGGTGTTAACATTTTTACTTCAAATGTGTCAGTAACCAAAGAAAATTATAAATATTATTTTCATTAGATACCACCTCTTCTCAGCTAACAAAGTATGGCATGTTAATGACCAGTTATATTTGACTGTCACCAATAATCTTATCAAGTAACTAATCTCATTTAATTTAAATGTTCTATTATCGAACATTTTTCATATAGATCCAAAGGTCTTAGAGAATACTTTAAATTTTTCAAAAATTACTTTTCTGAAAATAATAGGTATGTTTTAAATTTAGTATTAAATTTTTTCAACTAAGTGTTATGAAGACAATTTATGTTTAAACTGGAAATCATTTGTATTCGATAAATGATGAAGAAGTAAGTTATCAAAAATGTAGATTGAAAAAATCAAAAACCTGTGGTTGTGTGGAAGAGCTGGAGAGGATTCAGTGTGGGAAAGGAGTTGAAAAATTCGCATTTTAGACTAAAATTATTCTTCACATTGTTTTACTTTGTTTCATTTTGAGGCAATATTTACAAATTTACTCAAATGCAGATGTTAATGCAAAGGAATTAGGGGAAACTGTAGGGAAATCCCAGAAGAAACAATTTCAGGAGGCCAGCGTATAGAATAGTTCCAATAGCCTGTGTATAGTTCAAAAGTATAGATGTCCGAGGCAGTTTCTGTTAACTGAGCTGTCAGTCAAATTCTCTTAGTTTTCATACATGTACAGATCTTAGCTTCAGCAGTTTCGATACATACTGCTGATCATTACCAACACAGTTTGCAGTGTACCTGCAAACCTCGTTCTGACAAATGCAGGAAAAAAACATGTACATAGAATAGTAATGTTGGTAGTGCTGCTACTATTGTTGTTTAAACTATCATGAACTATTAACTAAACTATTAACAATAAATGGAGTGTTAATTAATTATTAACTGAAAAGATGTACATATGAATAGATCATTCATGCAATTCTCGGCTCAGGAATTTATTTTCATGTCTCTCCAATTATATTTTTGGAAAAAACCGTTTTTGTAATATTTTTTTAAAATCAATGATCGTCAATGAATTTTATTGTTCGATGTTGGTTTGTGCTTCCATATGGTTATGTGAATGATATGGATCATCACTAAAACCATCTATGAATATTACCACAATCTGCCATTGAGAGGTGATGCTTTGATAAATGGATTGTTCTACATAGATTTGGCAATAAGATTAATTTTGTTGATACCAGCTGTTTTGATGGGGGTCTTAGATGTTCGGAAATTGAAATGGTGTACTGTCTTTGTAGCAGTGTGATGATAAGACGTTTGCAAGAGATGACTTAAATAGTAGAAGTAATTTAAGTTGTAATGTAAGTTTTAGATTTTTACTTAAATCTTACAAGAGAGTCTGGGCAGTTTGTAGCTCCACTTGTTTTATTTTTGTTATTTTATCTTTATTCAGATGTTCACAAATGAATGTCCTTTTAGATGTGGAGGTACATCAAAGCGGCGGCTTATGTCAGCTGCCCAATTCATGGAGTTCCTTAACAAAACACAGCGTGATCCTCGTCTCAATGAAATTCTTTATCCATATGCTAACACTGCACGATCTCGGGACCTCATTCAACAGTACGAGCCAAATAAGTACAATGCCCAAAGAGGTACTGTAAGCTTAAAATTTTTTATTTTTTTATATTCTAGTGTTTAACTTTTGTGATGTATTTATGATTTTCATAATATGAAATACTGAGTTAAGCAATTTTTTAAAAATGTTTTTGGTACGAATGAATAGAATTATGAAAATCAGTAGTGACATGAACTGTGAGCAATTTTATAGTATATATGTGTAATGAAATTTTCAAACTAATGAAGATACTCTGTAGAGACTAGCAACCCTGATGATGGTGATGATGATAATGATAACAGCGGTAATTATATATACCAGGAGACAGTTCATAGAGAATCTCTTCAAACGCTAAGCTTCAAGATATTCCAGATCGAAAATAGACTTTCTGAAAATATTAACATAGATAGTAAAATTGGAAATAAATATATCAATATCCAGATCGTTTACATTTTTACAGGACCAAAAAACCCAGTTGTTTAATGTGTAGTTGTGGGAAATAGTTCTCAGTATAAAAGGCCAAAAATGCCTTGAGGGCCTTGTCGGAATTCTATACATAAATGGGGATAATCATTCTAAGTTTGCCTAAATATCAACTTGTTGGAGAAAGGAACTGTTATATTTTGTTTCCATTTTCTGAGATGTTTCAATGAACTTTCAGAATATTATTTATATATTGTCAATTTAATGGAAAATTTGATAATGTGAATACATACTGACACTGGCTACTCAAATTACATCTCAGTCACAAGTAACAGTTACTCAAAGTTCATTCCCATTTGCATCATGTACAATTCATATTTTTAGATGCAAATGTTAGAAAACAAAACAATAGGCTAGAGCACTACAGTAATTTACTACAATTATTATTATTATGATTATTATTATTATTATTATTATTACTACTACTACTACTACTACTACTACTACTACTACTATTATTATTATATTTGTTGTTGTAGTTGTATTTTTGTGGCAAAATGCACTATATTAATTTTCAGTTTTTATGTAAAAAGGAATATTTAATGTGTGTGCAATGCATTTGTAACTTGTGATGGGTTTTAAATGAACTAATCTCGTGATATTTATGGGGAAAATAAATGTATATAAATAATTGTAGTTTTCCCTTTGTTTGTAGTGTATAGGTGAGTTCATGGGTTAGCAGGTGACATGTGCCTACTATTCCTGTTACACCTTTATGCTATTTGTATGTTCTTTAACTTTTTAATTATTAGAATTTTGGTTAAAATGTTGAAACATCTTTTGTAGGTCAGTTCAGCTTTGATGGCTTTTTAAGGTACCTCATGAGTGAGGACAATCCCATCATGTCATATTCTAAGTTTGACTTATCAGATGATATGGACCAGCCTTTGCCCCACTATTTCATTAATTCTTCTCATAACACATATCTAGCAGGTAAGCTTGTATTACGTTTGTATAAATCAATATGTAATATATCATAAATCAGATGTTTCTAGGAAATTGGATGTGAATAAGTATACAAGTACAAATGATTAGAGAGACATGTGAGCATTAAAAAATTCATGAATTTCCTTACTTATGGAGGGAGTTTTGTAATTTCGTTGTTTACTGTTAATTCCTTTAATTTTACATTGTGTGTTGCATTTTAATTTTAAGTGCATACCTGAATCCACAACTAAAACTTAAATTAAAAGATTATAAAAGTAGCAGTATTTAAATGACCATGGAATGTAGATTCATTTAAGTTTATTGTAATTTTGCTTTTAGGACATCAGCTGACAGGTAAAGCGTCTGTTGAAATGTATCGACAATGCCTGCTGGCAGGCTGTCGTTGCGTGGAGCTGGACTTCTGGAACGGTCGCACAGAAGAACCTGTCATAGTGCACGGATACACTTTTGTACCTGAGATATCTGCAAGAGTATGTTTTTCAACTTAGTAAATTCAGAGACTAAAACACTATTTCAATATGTTAGGTTCCAAGAAAAGAAAAAGTGTTGAGTTGAAGAAAAGAGTGTAGTCTGTAAAATCAAATATTTGCAAAAAAAATATTTTCTAAATTTACCCATTAAAAAATTTCTAATTCATACATTAAATTTTCAGTTAAAGATAGTCTTCTTAAAAATTTTATTGAATTTTGCCTGTACAGGAAGTCATTGAAGCAATTGCAGAATCAGCATTTAAGACATCCGATTATCCTGTTGTACTTTCATTTGAGAATCATTGTAATCCTCGACAACAAGCAAAAATTGCTTCATATTGCCGAGATATATTTGGAGAAATGTTGTTGGATGCACCATTGGAATCTCACAAAGTATGTTATAAATCCATTAATTTTTAAAGTAAATTAAATCATGCATAATTTTTTAAATTAATTATAGTCACTCATTTATTATTCAATATAATCTTGCTTTTGGTGAATGAAATGGTTTTTGCAATTCCTGTTCTGGTATAACAGTGTTAGGAAGCATGTTAGAGAAATAAGCTCAGCTTTCTACTAATTTATTTTAAAGGAATTATTACTGAAAGCTATTTATTGAATTATATTTCGTTTATGAAAATTTTCTGTAGCTGGAGCCAGGCCAGTGCCTTCCACCACCCTCCCTGCTGAAACGTAAAATTATCATTAAGAATAAGAAGAAACATCATCACCATCACCACAAGAAGAGTCGGGCCAACTCTCAGTGGAGTTTAACTGCAGGCGAGGGAGCTGCGGCGGGGGAGGGTGATGTGACCGTGCAGGGCAACGGGGACGTGCCCCACATGCCTGCGGCACCACCACGCCAGGGCAGCAAAGATAGCGGGCCCGAAGAGGAGGACAATGGTTAGCCCCGTGCTGAGCTTAAGCTCTATGTGCATCACTGTGGCAGGTGACAAGAGCTCTGTATTTTGGCTTGCTGGCATATCCACTCCACCCTTCACCCAGAGTAGCATTAGGGTGCAGCATTTTAATTGCTGATGATAATTGCTAGTTCAGGGCACATGCTGGTAAAACCACCTTTTTCCCCACAGTCACAACCCAAGCCACAATGCACACTCTCTGGGTAAGTCATGCTTCACTGGCAAGCAGCTGAGTAACTTTTTAGTTCTTGTCACATTAATTTTAATTTTAGAATTTAAAAAGTGCTTATAAATAGTAATATCTAGGCATCTATTAAAATTGAGTTTGTTATCTTGATATTTAATTCATTAGGCAGCAACATTGTAGAAAATAGTTGTATGGATAGTGCTAATTAGTTTGTACAGGTGACTATGTAGAACACAATTATATTATTAAATGAGAATGACATTTTGCATGAGTATATTAGCTATGGCGCACGATCTTAAAGGAAACTGCTTGTAAACTGATGAGATTTTATTAATGTTAGAAAGTAATTTAGTTTAAATTATTTTTTGAGTGTGATCTTTGAGAAAGACTACATGTGCATTGATAGTGAATTCTAATTGTTAAATTTACTAATGAATTTATAATGGCATGAGCACTTTAATTTATTTAATGTTTGCTTTGGTTTTTTAATAGAAAATCAAATTTCCGTGCATCCTTATAATTAAATTTATTGCCCTAGTACTCCAATAATTTTCCAAAATAATATGACTGATTCCACCTACAATTTCTTGTAAAATTCATGACCACCAAGAAATTAATTCTTTGGGAATTTTGCATGTGGATTTGGTCAATAACTAGATTCACTTTGTTTGCCAACATTTCTGAATTTTATTGTTCTGACATTAGTGTGGTAGATTGCACAAAATATATTACTGCACTTTGTAATATAATACAGTATTAAAAAAATTGAAGAAGAAACATTATTCTTTGAAACAGTATTTATATATTCATTACGTATGAAAACAAGCCTTGTGATTGCATTACCTTGTCACCTATAGTCATCAGTAAGCTAAGTGAATCTAGTTATTCAATTCTTTATCAAAAATTCCACATTAAAAAAGTAGTTCAATCACTTATTACCCAGTTACAATATCTCAATATAATACAGTGATTCATTCCCCCCCCCCCCCCTTTATTTCAGCCCCCCTTGGTGTTCATGCTTCAAAAAAGAAAAACTATGCTCAACAGAATTCCTAAAGGATTTAATATTGTTTTAGAATGCATTGATATTGATTAGTATACAAGGCATTGTATCTTGTCTTGGTGTTTAGAAGTAACATGAAGCTTATCCTTTCCAAAGTAGATGAATGTTTAATTTTAATGGTGCACCCTTTGGTCTCCCTTGCTTGTTATCTTTAATAGATTTTGCTTTTAACATTTTGACAGTTTTCTATATTACACAACTAAAGAGATCAAAAAAGCTGCCTGGCAAGAAAACTACATGAATGCAATTCCTGTAAGAAAATTGGTCTTATGTCTTGAATATGATGCTTTTGTTGCTTTGCTTTGAACAAAGAATGTGGTACATATGACATAGCCCTTGCATGCATTTGAAATGTCATATTTTGGTGAATCACTATTCTTAACAATGTGATAGCATGAATTTATTGTGATGATATAACCCAAATATATATGTTCATCCAAATTAGCAAATCTTATAAGTATTACATTTGTTCAAAAATTGTTATAAAAGTGTAATTACTGGGAAATGAATCTTAGAAAATGTCTTACCTCCAGGGGTAATACAAAATGGGAGAAATATTTTGTTTAAAATATTTGTATCACTGATGGAAATATGAGTGGCTTGCTAATTCAGGTGATTGTAACAACGTAATTGGTGATTGTGCCATTGTAATTGTCGGATCTAATTATCTCTTATTCTTATAAATTATCTTTTATTTTGTGATGTACAACAGTTTGGTATGCTGTGTTTGCATGCAAGATATCACTGGTCTGGTCTTTGAGGTTGACTGAGAAGTGATGACAGTGAACATTGAAATAAATGAAGCTAAGTTAGAAAGTAGTTTAACTACTCCTGATACCATCCTTTGCTGAAAGTATGTGTAACTGGCAATAAAAATTTGGCTCAAAACAAGTACTTGCCATGTAGTTCAGTTCAATGGAGGATAATGAGTTGATGCTGAGCTCTGAAATATTGTTAATATCTGTACTAGTTAAGAAGAAAATGTTGGTGTAACAGGCAAGTGGGAGAGCAGGATTGTAAACAATTTTTGCTTTAATGCACATGTTAGCAATCCCCCATGGGAGGATTACCTACTGCTTTGCAACTGTCACCTCCAGTTTACTCTCATTACTTCTGGTCAACATCTGGAGATAAGTTGATGTTGCATAAAATACAATTCATGGGTGACAAAATTGATTTTCAAACTTAATTGTAATTGATGATTTTGCCAAGTAGAAAGAGTAACTTATGTTAAGAGTCCTGCTTGAGATCGTGTTTGTGATCTTTAATGTGTGATTTTCATATTGAATGCTAATTGTGTGTTGTATTTTGCTTACATGCCATGTGTCAATCTTTTAGAGAATTTGATGTTGCTTCTGTTCGGTATTGTGCTTTTGTCAGTGTTTCAATGTGATGTCTGTTGCAAAATGTGTCGACATCAGTAAACTTCACAGCCTGTTTTTATGAATAGTGATATCTACTGGACTTATGTTTTGTTGCAGAGGATGATGATGAAAGCAGCAGTGGTGAGGAGTTGGAGGATGAAAATCCAGAGAAGAGTTTGCATGAGAAGAGTAGCCCTACAGATAAGTCAGTTACAGCTCCTGAAACAGAAGCTGGAGATGAAATATCTGCCCTCGTCAACTACGTACAACCTGTTCATTTCTTATCATTTGAGAATTCAGAAAGTAAGTCTGAAAGCGTAATGTAAATATGCACGTGTTTGTGTATAAATAAAAATACATAAAATGAGAGTCCTCTCAAGAGTTGAAATTGTTAACTCTTGAATTTTAAGCATTACAACTACAAAGCCAAATCTACATTAAAAACACAAATTCTGAGTCAGATTCCATTAAAAGAAAATATTTCCTCAAAATGAAATTTAAGTGACAGTTAACAAAGGAATCACTTAGCGCGGAAGCACTAGTGTATTTTTTCTTTTCTTTTCTTACTGTGTACTTACATAATAAAGAGGAAGTTTTGAAATGCTATGGCAGAAATGGCATTTTTTTGACAGAAAAACTTGTATTGTCAAACTGGGTAATGAAAAAGGTGATAACTCTTGTTCCTATATGTAGTAAATTCCTTCATTGTGTAGAGATTACTTCACGATTATATCAATTTTTTGTTTATGACTTTCTGCTTTATTATGGTCTTCAAAATCTGCAATAAAATTTTCCATTTTAGGTTCTATATGATTTGCTCTAGTTTCTGTTTCACTTCTAACTTTCGCTGTCTCTGTATGAATTTTCACAATTGCAATGTGCAGTTCGCTTGTAACTCGAGAAATTTGTGTTGAATTTTGTTTTGTTCTCTATTTTCTTTGAAACATTTCTGAATTAATTTATTATTCTCATCCAATTTTTCATTTAAATTCTGTTTATTCTCATCAATCTCATATTCACCTCCATTAACACATTCAAAATCAACTAGTTTGTATTCTCCACTACTTTATGATTACCAATTTCTTGTGGGGTTGCCATATTTCTGTTACCTTCCATGTCAGTTACCTTCCATGTCAATTTGCAAAATTTTTACATTGCTTTCTGGCTCAGTATCTGCATGCAAATTAACAATTTCCCCATTATTTTCATTCTCAGTTGTTTCAGAAACTGTGTCTCTTATTCTTAGTGAAAAACATTTTTGTATATCTGCTCGATATTGCTGAGATAACGTATGAAATTGGCAGGGCAATGGAGGAATGGCTGAGGAAATGAGAGTACTTCGAGAAATCCTGCTGTGTTCCCTTTGGCTATGTCATTAGATATTCGACAGATTAGACATAATAAAGTTTGGGAATAATGTCATAAATGCTTGAATATTTTGTAACAAATACAACATTAATTCAGTAACTTTTGATAGACAAGATATATTGTAAGGAATGCATTTGTAACATGTGATGTGAAAGCTATTGTCTTTCCACGCCTGGCTCCTTTTCAACATTCCTCTTTTTTGTTAAAACATTCTTTCTTTGCTAGGCCTACCAGTTGCCGTAATAAAACGTTGCGTCTTATTGTCATTGGGTGGTGTGTTGACACTGATCTTGTGGTGGTGGCAGGACATGCTGCCATAATAGAAAAGTTGGTTTGCAACAATCTATTGAGAGTTATAGAAGAGATGTCAATCAATGTAGTCAATGTTTTCTTCATTCTTGATAACACCTCGAGTGTCCCCAAGAAGGATGGCATAGACATTACGGAAAAACATGTGTGGCCCCAAGGAGGTCGGGGATAGACATGATAGAGAACCTTCATTGTGTGTTAAAACACTGAGGGTTCTGGGAAGACAAAATATGTTTTATAGTTTACTAATTCATTGCTATGTGTTTACGGACCTGAAACAAAACACGTAATGATATTATTAGTACCCTTGCCAGCCTTTCTGATTCTCTATGCCTGCACAGGCCTTTTGAATACTGTATGGCCTGTGCAGGCATGTAATTCCAACACAACATAATATTTTTATGAATTCAATTTATTAAATTTAAGATATAAGAAAATACAATAAATGGCATTGTGCTTAAATAAGAAAAATAACTTGTTATAAACCTTATTTTGTGTAATTGATATGAAAATAACAATTTTGAAATGTTCCTGTGAAATTATAATTGCCATTAGTCACTCATATTTCACTATTAAGTATATCTTTTTATTAAAGACGTATATGCTTCTTAAGTAGCAGTACTAATAGTAATAATATGTATAAGACACATCAGTTCACATCCTTTTAAATGTTATTTCTTGATATTCTGAAATATTCTAAATAATTTTTGACAATAGAAGCAAATAATTTAAAAGTACTGTTTCAACACTGCAGTTCATACTGTTATTTTCCATACATCTCTGAAATACACCATAATCATTTTAATATATTTCTCAAGATTTTACTGGAAACCACTGTCCGTAGCTGTGTTAGCTTTTGCGAATATTTCCACAGGAACTTCACAATATACCTTCATTTTGTATGAACAAATCAGTCCATCAATGATTATGCTATAGTAATCTCTTTTGTTTATCTAATGTTATATTGTCAAATCACGATTGCAGTGCATCTTTTCACTTGAGATGTAAGAAAATTTTAAAAATATTTTGAATTCTCATTTGATTCAGCAACGAACTAGTAAACCATAAAGTTTGTATGCACCACATACATTACTAGATGTTTTTGCCCCGAGGGCGACTTCCCAACCCAAGGGTCTCTGGCCTGAGGGGGCTAGTCACCCTCAGGGCAAAAACATCTACGTAATGCTCTAGATACATTATTATGATACAATTGTTAATGGAGTGTCTTCTTATGATTGGAAGGGAATAGGAGAATATTTTTTATAAAACAAATAAAAATCTTCAATATTGTTATTGCAGAATTTGTTAAATGGATGTAAATTCACTGGGCAATTGTTGTGTTTGTCTGTATAACAAATTTGTGAAAATTGTAGGAAGATCTTCATGTAATACACGATCGATACCAATAAATGTCAACTGGAGACGAAGTGACCTTGATGAATATTCACACATTCTTTCTTTGCTCGGAAGGCTACCCACCTACTGGTTGCTGTAATAATGTGCCCTTATTGCAACTTGATATTGTAGAATGATTAGTTGACATAAATGTCTTGTAACAATATCATGTGCTGCCATCACATCCACCACAAATTCCACCATTGGATCAAATGGGGAATTAAGCCTTCTTCAGCAAATATAAAGTGACCAGTCTCACCATTATACCATGGATTGCCCATAAAGACTTCATGTGTTCTCTAAATTCAATTAAAACTGCAAGTTATGTATTTATGCATATGAATGTGAGTGTGTGTACATGTGGGTTTTTTCCTCTCCAGTAACCAACATTGGTCATTAATTTATTTTATTTATTTCTTCCCCAAGCTCAAATCCAATTGTTTTTTAATCTTCATTGGGTTAATTAACTTCTCTGTATGTTATTGTTTCAGAAAAGAATCGTTATTATGAGATGTCATCATTTGATGAGAAACAAGCTACAACTCTTTTGAAGGAAAGTCCTATTGAATTTGTTAATTACAACAAAAACCAACTTAGTCGTGTGTATCCTTCTGGTAAACGATTTGATTCTTCAAATTTTATGCCTCAAGTATTCTGGAATGCCGGCTGCCAACTTGTAGCTCTTAATTATCAGACTCTTGGTGAGTAATCATCACAATGCACGGTTTTAAGAATTGCATATCTCTTGTTAAATTCAAGAACAATTACTTAATTTTTATATCAAGATAATGAATATAAGCTTCGATAGCCTTCTGAATCGGAAGTTTTTTTTGCTTGTAGTAAGTTTTTGCTTTTTCTTACAATTATTTATTTACATAAGTCTTGATACATTTGGTACATACTCAGTGACTACCTAACACCAGCTTTCTACTCAACAAACAATTTTTTTTAAGAAATTCATGAAGCCTTTTTCTCCTTTAAGAAATGTACAAAGACAAAATTCCATTTTTGATTGAACATTATATTTTAACATTAGTAGAAGTATGTGGCAATTATTCTCAGTAATTCTTACTTAATCATCCTAACTGTAGTGTCTGAAATATCTTGACATTAATCTATGAAGATGACTAAATGAGCATTTACATTTTGCTATGAACTTTAAAAATTTTCTCTAACTTATTAGATACTTCCTATAATTATTACCGGTTATTTATCACTTAAGAGTTTGACATATGTTGCACAGGTATTGAGGATTTTTTGTCAATCACTATTTTTATCAATTAAACACTCTAAAAACTATTTTAAATTATATTTAGAATGAGTACCTCACAGGTACTTTGTCAGAGCTGAGCACTTAAAAAGACACATTGGGCACTAAGGGTTAACTTATTACAATTTTACTATTTTTTCTAGACTTGGCTATGCAGCTCAACCTTGGAATCTTTGAATACAATCATCGCTGTGGCTACTTACTAAAACCAGAATTCATGCGTAGACGTGATCGACGCTTGGATCCATTTGCTGAATCTACTGTTGATGGAATTATTGCTGGCACAGTATCAGTGCATATAATATCAGCGCAGTTTCTTACAGATAAACGTGTTGGAACATTCATAGAAGTTGATATGTATGGTTTACCAGCAGACACTGTTCGTAAGAAATTTCGTACCAAGATTGTTCCAAATAATGGAATAAATCCTGTGTTTGATGAAGAACCATTTGTATTTAAGAAGGTATTTATTTGATTTGTTTTTCTTGTGATACTGTGCAAACATCATTGTATCTGTTTTGTCAGAATATATTCCAATAAGCTATATTTATCCAACTATAAACTGATTCTAAATACAGGATAATCCCCTAATTTTGAGAATTGTTTTTCATTTTTAACAAATTCCGACTTAAGTCACAAACAAATAGTTTGAATAGAATTGACAAGAAAGTGACACGTGCGTCTATGCTATCCCTATTTTCTTATTCTTCCTTTAATTGTCATCTTTGTGTTAAGTTTATTGTCGTTACCATCTATATTTTCACTTTTATGTCACTCGTCAGTCTTTCTTTTTAGGCCTCCTCCCACACTAGATTGTTTTCTGACCTTTTTGGTCCCTCCAGAAAGTTTTGCATGTTACATTTGTGTTCGTTTATCTGACGCCTCCTAAAAACATTACTTTCTGTGACACCAAATTTTCTTCTTTCCCAGCTGTTGTTCATGGCCGCAGCTTTTTTAACATCCACAAATTTGAATTTTTCACTGCTTATGTAATGTTTGCACCGTTTGAGTTGTGAAGAATGAACTCATAGATTCACTCAGCAACATCTTGGCCTCTGTTTCCATTCATTTTTGCTTTGCATTTCACTTATTACAATGCCATTTTTAGAGATTCTCTCGTTACCAGCAGTTTAATGTTCGAGCACATCTGCGGTGGATGCCAAGAACATTTCTGTATTTAAATAGAATAGATATGTGTACACATTGTTTATTATTGGCTTTGCTGTTTATTGTTGTGTCAGTATTAGAGATTCTTGGCTGGGAGAACATTAAACCCAACAGACTACACTTGATCTGCAAATCTGAGACTACCCATGTTTTTTGTAATTAGGTTTTTATTAGAAAATTACCTCTTATATTTCGGTAAATATGGCATTCTGTTTCTCTGAAATAATTTCTTTTTATCAAATGGAAAATGATTTTAGGAACAATTATAGATGAAATGATACTTTCAATGTCTAATGTTATGGATACATTTTTATAAAAGTATATTTGTGATAAAATCTATATTGTTGCACCAAAATATATTGAGATGCAAATGATACTGAAAACCATGCTTTCTCACATTACTGAATTTTGTTTTCACACATCTTCCTGACGGAAGATACATATCTTCCTGATGGAAATCCTTGAGGATTACCTCTCTCTTCTAGAAAATTTTTCCGAGTGACAAAACTGGTATCCAGTGTTTCAGCCACTGCTCTCTGCAAATGCCGTTTGGACATCTCAACCTGTTTATGTCCAACTTCTCTGCTAAGACAAAACCTTTTGTCTTGATGCCATCACTTGTCAATCCTTAGAAGGCAAAAACCAAATTTAAAAAATTGAGCATTAAATCCACACACGCAGAAATGACAATGCACGATTGTCCCTGTTGTGAAAGACCATATAAAAAGTCTTCAGTGCTTATTATTCCGTCATAAAATGTATATAAAATACAAGTTGCACTTAGGATAATCCATGACATAGTGGTCAGACTGCACGCCTTCCACAGCTGATGCCCAAGAACAGTTCCAAGTGGAATTTGTGGTGAAAAAACAAGTTCATGGCAGGTTTCCTCAGGAACTCCCATTTTCCCTGCCAGTATGTATTTCACCAGTTCACTCCATCATTCATTCCCCACCCTGTCCTATCATTAACCATCATTAATAATAATAATAATAATAATAATAATAATAATAATAATTATTATTATTATTATTATTATTATTATTATTTTCTTCAATATGTTGTTAGATATATCGTATATGTCAACTGATTCTGAAGACTTGAGACTTCTCACTATTTTCACTATTTCTCTTGGTGTTACATCAGTGAAGGTAAAGGTATTATTGTTGTGAGCTCCCACATGGTGTCTTCCTAATAACTCGATGGGGGTTGTGGTTGGTCTTGTGATGTTTTTGCGGACTTCTTCTACAGAGTTGATAAAATAATCATTAAATTGATTTGGGAGTATCTTCGTATGCTCACTATTGTTAACTTTTCTTACACTATTTATTATTGTCCACGCTTTTTTACATTTATTATTTGATGACTCAATGTTTTCTATATTCTGCTAAGCATCCACGGATTACTGTGGCGACCAGGCAATAACTAATGAACTAGCTGAGAAGGGCTGCAGCTACCTCAGAAGGTTATCGATATGTAGGGTCCCGGCTTGGTGAACTAAAGAGAAAGAGGGGAAATGGTGAGGGATGCCTCCTCCGAAGATCCTAGTTATGGTTGATAGAGGCTGGATGTACTGCCAGTCAGGGCAAGGAATATTACTTCTTTGAAGCTGACCCCTGAGGGAAAAAATCAGTTTTACAAGTTGCATTTCATGCAATCACCTATCCTGTCCTTTGGCTTGAAAACCCATTACAGGTCTTGGCCGACCAGAAATGACCCAGCCACTCGGCCATGGGATAAGGGGTTCATATGGTTAGCACAAAGCCATCCCTAGTCTTCATAATCTTTGGGGTGGGCTTTCTCATCGTCACACAGCATTAGATACTGGGACATTTGTAAGGAAAGTACACAGTTACAATTTTGTTCTGGTCAGGAATAGAACCCAGGGTTGCACCAGGGATAGCAAGCATGCTAACCAACGAGCCACCAAGGACCTCCATGCAACCTCCAGTGTTCTTAAATATCAATGCTTTACTCAACATCAATTGTTAAAGTGTTATTAAAAACATTGACAAGTTCTTCTGTTTAGTTTACTTCAATTTATAATTGGGTTTATTATGTCTTTGTTTCAGGTAGTGCTTCCTGAGTTAGCAAGTATACGTTTGGCTGCTTATGAGGAGTCAAATAGGCTTATTGGACATCGTGTCCTCCCTGTTGTTGGATTGTGTCCTGGATATCGACATGTAGCATTACGTACTGAACTTGGACAACCACTGCCACTTGCTGCAGTCTTCCTGCATATAGTTGTAAAGGATTACGTTCCTGATGGATTGTCTGATTTTGCTGAAGCACTCGCAAACCCCATAAAGTACCAATCTGAACTGGAGAAACGTGCTCAGCAATTATCAGTGCTTACAGATGATATGGATGTCATAGAGGTATGTAATAAGTAATAAAATTGAAATAGGAAATTTTGTTTTTATTTTTTTTTAAATTGTTGTTAACTGTTGTATTTGTTTACTTTTTTCTTCTTTTTTTTAATATGTTGAATTTTTTAATATGTTGAAATATTACAACAATGACATTTAGTTAAATATTAGTTAAAATTTGTATATCTTGCTTTGTCTTCTAATATTCCAGAGGTTCTTCATTTTTGAAACATTTAAGTAGTGTTATAAATTGTTCTTGTGCTCATAGTTTGTTAATAAATTTGTGTATTTCATCCACTTAAAATGGCAGTAACAGACTCAATTTGGGAAAATTTTGTAGAAAAGTAAGAAGAAAAGTTTTATCAATAATAAAAAATAGATTAAATAATCAAATTATTTAAATCATTAGAACCCGAGATGAAATCATTAATAATGTGTGTAACGTAAGTAAATGTTTTGTCTATATTTTTAGCAAGAAGATGAAACTTCCAAACTAAATGCCAAACGCATTCCTAGTGACAAACAGGAAGTAGCAGCAGCAGCAGCAGTAGCCACCAGTGTGGCTGCTGCTGGTAATCATGTTGTTAGTGTGAGTCCTGGACCAAGAGCATCAGTAGTAACAGCAGCTACTGCTGCAGCCGCCACAACTGCAGCAGCCCCAGATGTAGAAACAAGGCGCAATACTGAGCTTGTTGACAGCCAACTGCCAGCCACTGTTGTGTGTTTGGAGGCAGAGCCCAGCACAGCAGGCCCACCAGTGGAGCGACCACCTGCTAGTAGTTAGTATTCTCAGAAATATTTATATGTAGTTATTTTAAGCCCCAGATTGTTAGGTTTGAACCTTTTCTGTTCCTGTGCTCCCGCATAAGAATATCCATCCCTTCATGTACTGACAAAAACATACACAAATTATGTAGGCTTAAATAGATCTAATGTGTGCCATAGGAATTAGAAAGATCTATTTTGGTGTTAGTCTTGGGAAATGTTTTTGGAAATTGAATGTGTGTGTGGGTCATGTTTTTTGAGGTTGGAAGGTACGAGAAGAATTTCCTTGGAATCCTAAGGCAATTGCCGGCATAAAGTTTGCACCTCTTACATCATGTGATTCGGAGCACAGTTTTGCAGCATTCAGGCAGATTTCCACAGAACACAGAAGAGGTTTAACTCCTGAAAAATTTGTATAAGTATTTCAGTTTTGTGTTAAAAGGATTAATAAATAGATTTCAATTTCTTCAATAAAGATACTGGAGTGTGATTATTAACCTGTGTTGCATGTAATTTTTTTGCATGAATACTTATCATTATCTAAATTATAATTTGTAAAAGTTATTGAAGCCTAAATCATTATTTTGAAGAAAAAAAAAAACAACAACCTATTTTAAATTTTTACTTTCTTGCTTACTACATGTAGAGAAAGTTATAATGCTTCAGCAACAAGTGGTGATTTTTCAGCAGAATGCCTTGTATTGTAGGACTACATTTCTGAAAAATGGAATGATTCTTGTTCCTGTGTGTAGTCTTTTGCTTCCTCTAACATGTGTGACCAGAATCCATGATTTGTGGGTCCTTGACATGGAAAAATTGTTTTATGGCAAAATGTACTTGTCTATTTGTGAACAACACTAATGGCTTAACCATAGGCAGGCAACTTTCTACAATTACAATAATGAAGATAGATAGTTTTTCTGTAATGAAATGAAGGCATACCCAGAAGATCAAATGCACTCTGAAGATTCCTCTAAATGTTTGCATTATGTTGAAATCTCATCCATATTTCGTTGATACAAGATCCTCCAAAACAGTATTTGTGTTTAACATAAAAAAACTAAAGAAATTTGAAGATGTGAAGATAAGAGCAAATCCAGTGTCCCAAAATATTGTTGCCTGTAATGTATTCAATCAATGACAAATTTTTAGGAGAGTGTGTTTGAAATGAATGTGTAAGAAACCAAGGAAAATTTTACATTCAAAATCCAAGGACAATCTACATATTTAAAAAATATGTTATTTGGAAATTATTTATTATTATTTAAGGTTATATTGTTAATATAATGGTTGTTATAATAATGGTTATCCATAAAGATTACTATTGTGTGAAATAACATGAAAGCTCTGTATTGTATTAATTCATTAAAAAATATTATTGTTTGTAAGAGAATTCATGTATGTACCTCATTTGAGCAGGAAGTAATACTCAATCCGAGTTGTAACTAATATAAAGTGACTGACTTTTATTAACGCCTAACAAACTGTACTCCAATTGAAACGTAATTGACAGTGATCTTTCGGGACACAGTTATTCAATTGGGAGCTTCCTTATAATTTAATTTTTGAAATTGAAGCTCCTAATTGGATAATCGTGTCCCAGCTCATCGAAAGTCAATGGCCTTATGATTCATTTCAAGTGTATGTATATTAGCACTTCACGACTATTATTGACACTTCACAAACTCCAGTTTCTAATGTAATTCTTCTGAACATGATTCTATTTATCGATTTAGGTGACTAAACAAATACAATTAACTGATGTCTGTATGTCTATTAGTAGTCAAGATTTTGTCATCCCTACCTGTTCACTTTATCATTTCAATCATCCTCATAAAAAAAAAAAAAAGATAATGTCAATACCATTAGTAGTATTAAAAAATGAACATATTTTATAGTTAATATTTTTAAAAAAAAATATTTGTTTAATTTTTTTAACTTTCTGTACACAGTGAGCGATGAGCTGGTTGCAGAACCATTAGAAAGGATTATGGAGAGTAAAGGTGTTCGTGAGAAAAGATTAGAACTGGACAAGAAATTGGAGGCACTTCGAAAAAAGCAGGAAAAGGAACGAATGAGAATCCAAATGCACAAAGGATCACAAGATGAGAAATCAAAGTCGAAGTTTTATACTGCCAAATTAGTCAAGCGGCTCTCTAGCAAAAATATGTAAGTATGCACTTTGAGCTTTATTGCGTTTTGCATTTCAAACAACACAAAAGTAACGACTGAGTAAAAGTATATACGTAATGCCCACAACTTTTATAAAATACTTAATTAGCTTATTTATGTACAAGTTAGTGATATATATTTTTGTTAATCTTCAATACAGTGTGAAGTTCTCTAGAGGGGTTGATATGATAATGTTGAAAATATTCTAGAGGAGGACATTACATAATAGTAGCATGAAAGTATTTCAATTTTCAGTTGTGATGGAACAGTAGAACAATGGAACAGTATTGCTAATTCAAATGGTAAATAGGTTTCTGATTGGGAATCAACTCTGCTTTTGGTACAAAAAAGTCCTGATTTACTAAAAATACAGTATATAGTATACAATCTATATCTTACCATGGGTGAAACTATTTCTAAAAATACTGTATATAGTACACAATGTACATACTTTTCCTAACAGAATAATAATGATAATGATGTCAACAATGATAATCATAGTGTTAATGACTTGTCCCAGATTTCATTCATTTACATATCACAATTTCTCACATCATTCACATTCACATTCACAGATTTCACTCACCAGAATTTCCCAAGTGGTGCCCTCATTTTATCACATTTCTTAGTAAGCGTGAAATAAGAGATTAATTAACAAAATGCTTCTGTTGATAATGCATTATATTAACGACTAAATAGAAGCCATTACCTACAAAAGAACTTACATTATTTGGAACTGCCACATGACCTATTCCATTTCTCAGACAATTTGATAAGAATGGCATTCATGCTCTATTTGTTTTTCTTTAAAATCCACTGACAAATAAGGTTTAGTATCCTTGTCTAAAACTTCTAATTTCACACTGAATGAACAATGGTTAAAAAACTGTATAATGATCTTGTTGCCATGTTCTTTGAAAGAAGCCGTAACATCTTTCCAAATTTGTTACTGGTGAAATTGATATGTATTCTTAATACACTTTCACTTATATCTACAGTATTTTAATAAAGTCACTTTTACATCTCCACTCCTGCCAACTAAGCATAGATGTCATGCATGGAAGTGCACACCCAATGTACATTGGCATTCACTGCTTCAAGAAACATCTGGTGAAATCTGAAATTCAAGGTGTTGCGTGGTACAAATCTCATCAGTGGTTAGGGGAAATGAATCATGCAACAAATGCATGATGTGTCACCTTGCAGCTGGACTAAGCAATTTCTTCTTTAGTTGCCAAGAATGCAGTTCAAACTGCATTCAAAACATCATCAAGCTAGTGATTTATTACAGAACTCAAATGTGCATTTATACATAAAGTTTTGAAAAATGCCATTGACTAAGAATGTGGACTTTAAATATTTTTAAATACATTTCAAACATATTTTTCTCGTAATTTTCTCATGGTTACAGAATTGGTTATTATACAGAATTGGGGAAAAGACTGTGTGGGTTTCAATGAGAGTACATGACTCAAACATTCCTTATTGTTGGAGTATCTTAACATGCCCCACTAAATGCCCAAAATGATGATGTTGACGACGATCTGTCAGTAGCGCCAACTTCTCGAGGGTTCCAACCCGACCCATGATATTCAACGGGACGGATACTCATAATAAATTGCACTGCAGGATTGATAATTACTTTTTTTACTCTTGCTTCATTTTGTTAAGTTTAGAGCTCATACATTATTCTTCGTAATTGATCTATTTGCAAAAAGTATATATATTTAACACGTAACATATCATTATTATTGTGTAGTAAAAAGTAAAACCTTGAAAACCCTTGATATATTATGATGCAAGTGCACACAATATTATGGAACAAATCCATGCCAAAATCACATGATTTAGAAAACTCAGTCACAGTGGTTAAAAAGTCTGTGTTTCAAAGATGCAGGAAATGTTGGTAGCCATTGAAACATTGAATGAATGCTATTTCCATATTTGTTGCCTTTGTAGTTAAATATTTCTCATGCAATAATATGAATTTCCTCATAAAAAATATTTATTAATGGTATGCATGAACTTCCTTGTTGCTTCAAATATATTAGTGCAATGAGTTCGAGACTACTGATGGCGAATCCCCCAAAGTAAGATCTACTGTCATTGGTTTATAAAGAAGATAAATAATTCAAGGAAAACCTTAGTAGATGCACTTCCATTTATTCAGAAAGCAAGGGATAAATTCGTGCCAGGTCCAGGTGAGATAGGGAAAGCAAATAGGAAGAAAACAAATGAAGTTTTTGGAAAGAATCTAGGGCTTTATACTTTTCAATGGGTAAACTCTTGGAAGTTAATAGTATTTGTTTTTCAGACAGTGTATTGTGCACAAACATTTTCTCCCATAACATCATATGATGTCGAAATATAATTTTCTACGTACACAATTACATTATTTGATAAGGGACACTCATTAACCACAAATAATATTAAATAGAATTCTTGTGGCTTTCTTAATGCAAAATAAAATGTGCAGAAGTAGGTACTAATTTGTTTTTTGAATGTGCTTATCCCCAGTCTCTAGGTGGCAAAACTATGTAATGTCATTTAAAATGTGTTTTTGTGACCAAAAGCTGCATATCTTAACAATTTCTGTGCATATTTCAACAGTTTTGTGGTATATTGGCATGCACATTTCAGAACAAAGCTTGCATAAACCTCACAGCTCTAGTTATGTCTGTTACGGTGCTCGCACAATACATATACATGTGTATGTGGGAATAAAACAGTATTTTTAATATTATTCTTTCAGTGATTTGCCCCCGCTCTCAGTTGCTTCGGAACCTGTGGATTGTGGTGAAAGCGGAGATCCATCTCGGTATACACTTCCCAGGAGTCAATCAGAGCGATTACTCGCTATTTGTAAGACTCATGTAAACCAGGAGCGAGAGCTGCAAGAAAAATATCATGATTTGGTAATGAAGTCAAAGTTATCTAACATTGAGTTTGTGTGTTTAATTTTGCTTTTAATGCCTGTGAAGCAATACTTATTTCACCTTTCTATTTGCAATCATCATTATGTCTAATTTTGTTCTTTTCGTTACATGTTTTATCAGGCCATTTATTTGTATTGGTTTCATGAACTTTTATTTATGTTTTTTGATTAGTTCTTCAATTCTACTTACATTCTATGTTGTTTCTTTCCATACGTTTCATTATTTTCCTAGGTCACTCTTCAATTTAGTTTTCTCCCGTCCTGTTAGTGTATAGTAAAGCAGTATTCCTTCATGCAGTGAAGTGTTTCTACTGGTGTCATCTTCTTGTTGGTCTATCTCTATCCCTTTTGCCATTTGACCTATAATTTAATGTCATCTGTAGTAGTTGTTTGTTCATTCTTTTCATGTGTTTTCTCCATTTCCTTTGGTAGTTTTTGATTTCTTCTGTTAAGTTTCTTGTTTTCACTTCTTTCCTAATTGTTTCATTTTGAATTTTGTCCCTTGTTACTCCTAACACTTCCCTTAGGAACGTCATCTAATCTACTTAAATGCTTCTGGTTTCCTTTATGCCTGTTATCCACATTTCCGATCCATATTTTAGCATTGGTTTTGATGTAAAATTATGCTTTCTCATCATTGTTTCTTTTCTCATATGTCCAAAATGTCTCTTTATTATTGTATTGTTTCTATTATATTTTTATATTTTTTCTTCTATATTCTTCTCGTTCAATCCAATTGAAATTTTAAGATATTTAAAACTGGTAACTTGTTCAATTATTGAATTTTCTATTACTATTTTAGCTCCAAGATGTTCTCTGCCATAGAAGGGTAGTGTTAAGTTTTCTGGTTTGATATTTTCATTTGATATTCTTTGCTCAAGCTGCTCTTTTATTCAACAAATAGGTTGCTATAAATTTTATTTTTATTGTTGGCTTCGTTCTTCTGCTCAAACTTCATATTTTTTTGTGGTGTTTTGATTCGTATACCTCTGTACATTTTTAAATGTTTATTAACTATTTATTTAAAGATTTCTTGTAGTAGAAAGTTACAATATTTATCTGAAAATAAGGTGAGTAAATATAAGGGCACCCTCTCTTCACTTTACAAGAAACCTATTGAAGTTTTTAACTAATTCTTCTTACTATTCAATCAAAATTCCTTGAAGTTACTTGATATCTTCTTGACACATTCTTCTTTGTGACCTCTGCTTCTTAAATAACTTGAAATTTGCATTTTTGAAAATTCACATGTTTGTTTTTAGTTATGAACTGTGAACTCCTACATCTCTGTACCTCCACCTGGCAGGTAGAATGGGAGAGTGCGGCAATGTTTCCGTTATTTCAGAGTTTTTTGTTGTTGTTGTTGTTGTTGTTGCTGTTTTTTTTTTTTTTTTTTTTTTGCTAAGAATTATTTTTTCTTGATTCTTCCACCTCTGATGTTGGAAGTACTCTATGTATTTCTATCAAGACAATTTTTTTTATTTGAATTTCTTTCATAACTTGGATTTACACTCACCAGGCCCCAACCAAATCTGTGTGGCCTTAGTAGGGCATGGAACAATCTCAGAATGATTGTTATTCATTTTCATGTTACATTTCCCTTTCTATACTGCAGTTAATATGATATCTTCTCTGGCTTATTTAAAAAGATTGCCAAACAATTCCTTGGAGATTGTCAAGAATACGTTCACGTATAGAGTTAGTTATTGTACAGTAAAACCTATCTAAAGTAGAAACCTGCCTTCGCAGGGCAAAAATCTAAAAATGGATTATTTCCTCATGCAAAGTACACTGGATAAGCTGGGAACCTGCCTATCACACTAAAGGATGAAATGTTTAGTATGACAGTATTAAAAATTCTGAATGAGACAGAAACAAATGTTTTAAAATTAAACATTGACTTTGTGTGGTAACATTGTACCATGAGACTCAGAGCTGAGCATGTCCATTCACTTTCTCAGCTACCCTCATTTGAACATTGTATTTCATATACACTACTCCTGAGAAAACTATTGTTCTTTTTTGTAGTAGTACTTACCTTAACAAGCCCTTATGAAGGAAGAAGAGACATGAAGAGCGATCCTTCTACAGTTGCTGTAATGCATGCTTTAGGTTTATTGTTTTTGAACATTCACTGTTGTTCAGTTTGACAGTGTTGATAGTCTTGGAACTTCATTGCTATAATCCTCTCCATGCCATTTTCCCCTGGTATTTGTCAGGCTGATCAGCCTATAATTTCTTGACAAGAGTTTTAATTTCCTAAATATTGGGGTAATGCTGGCATGTTTCAAAGGTTTGGTATGTAAGCAGTTTCTGTTGATTTCCTGAAGATTCTGTTTACTACCATTGTTGACTACATGTTCCTCGTGTTTAGATCTCAAGTATCTGGAAATCTTTGTGAGGGTGTTGGAAGTGAATCTGTATGTTGGATAATGATTGTCGAGGCCAATGCTCTTGTAAATTATCTAAGCTCAATGTTTCTTCCTACAAAGTCGTATAACCAAACAGTTAATTCATAGTTTGGAATCAATTTTCTTTACTTTCTTTGGAGGGGTGTTGCTGTTCAATTGATGACATTTATCTATGAATTCCTGTATTTTGTGCATATCTATGTCATTGTCATTATTTGATAGGAATTTAGCACCTATGCAATCGATCAGCTGTGTTACATTGCTTAATAGTCAGCCTTTCTATAGTTGGGACTAAAGGTGTGTTCTTCTGATGATGTGCTTACCCCTATTAATTCCAATGTTGCAATGATTACAAGGTGATCACTTTGTCTAGTAGCTAGTCTTCATATTGGGGAAGTTATGATATCTTCTTCACTTGCCATCACAAGTTCTAAAATCAGGGTGAATACCATTCTTAGTGTCTTGTTGATTTGTGATTTCTTTGAATCAGATTTGTGTTGTATAATTCTAAAAATGTGTTTATATATTTCTGTCTTTGCTGACAGTTCTTCCCAACAAGTTTTGATTGATAGATTGAAGTTATCAAAAAGTAAAACAGGTTCTTTCATTATAAATTGACTTTTATCTAGCAGTTTGAAGTAACTTCAGGTTCCTTGTGGTCTTGAGTTAGAGGATGGTGGTCAGCATTTTGTTATATTTTGTTTTACTCTTTGAAGAGTTAAAAATATCCACTTGAACTCATCTGGACATAAGTATATGGATGTCTGTTTATGTTCATAGACAAAATTATTTACAATATTATTATATTAATATTCTAAAAATAAATCAAATAGAGTATAACTGATGAAAATTGAAAAATTGAATGTTAATATTGAGATTGAAATATATTATGTTTTTTAGAGTTCATTGTTTTATTTATATTTGTCATGAATGAAATAATAAAAATTATTGGTCTTACATTTGTTGTTCAGTTATAAATTAATAACATTTCCAAGATTTTATAATTATTTTTTTGTTTTTCCTTTTCAGTAATATGCCAATGTATAATTATTTTCAGGTATTTTCCACTGCCGAAAAGGCCCTCCGTACATCGCAAAGTCAGCAGTTAAAATTATTACAAGTTCTTCTTGAGCGTGAAACTGATGAAGTCATGCGAAAGCTTCAGGCTTTGCGCCGTGATGAAGTGAAAGCATTATCAAAGGTACATAGAGATAAGGATGAAATGGTTCGTATGAAGAGAGAAGTAGCTTCAGCTATGGTTGATCGAGGTGTACAGGAACGTATGCGATTGACTCAGCTATACCAGAAAAGAAGAGAAGAATTGGAGCATCAACATGAGTTAGTACGTACTAACTTCGAAGAAGAGAGGAAGAAAGTAAGTTCCTGAATTTTTTGTAGTGGTTAAAGTGCTTAGAGCAAGAAACACAGAAATAGATGGATGAATGGTGGTTCTGAGCAATTGTTTTGATTGTTCTTCATGTTGACAAGTGTTACGGAAGGGGCTGGTCATTCATTCACATACACACTTATGCACTTCTTTGACAGCTTTGCAATGCAATTGTATATAAGTCTGCTTAATGTCTTCTTAACTTACTGGGTACCTGAGTTGTTGACATGTTGTCATTTTTATGTACATTGTATATAAGAATAATTTTCTTGTGCATTTTCATAGTCAATGAATTCAGCAAGACAGCTTCAAAATCAGCCAACGTACTTTAGATATTTGAGACCAAAACCTCCCAATTTGTCAGATTCTGGCATAAGTTTACAAAACTTTTATTAAACGTCTGAAGATTGCCAATTTGTTTATACCATCTGGGCAAGGGGGATTCGAAATCTTTTGGATTTGAAAATGTTTTTCATTTTTAACACCAAAAGAGCAAGTCTTGGTGTCGTTAAATGAAAACACCTTTATCCCTGAAGTACTGAATCTGAATCTGAATCTGTGAAAGTAAAGTAAATATGGCACCAGTTTTACATTTACTATTTACTTATTTGATGGAAGATTTTTTTCCTGGCACATGGAAATTAAGTTTCATTACACTCATATTTAAAAATGGAAATTAATTTTATGTAAAAAGTTACCATACTATCTCAAAATTGTGTTGTACTATTCTCAAGTGGTTTAAATATATGATACCAACCTATCTATATGTATATAAATTAGTATATATAGTATAAATTCTGTTTTCGTTGATGAATTAGAGATTCAGGAGGCAGGGCAGGGACCTACTACAGCAGACTTGTTTCATTTTCAGAAGGTTGGATGGAAAATCACAAGTTGATGGAGTTTACAGTGATTTTGCTAAAGCATTTGAAATAGTTAACCATTCTTTTTGTTACAGATATGTATTTTGAGGATTGATGTTACTTTCTAACAATGGACACGAATAAAATGCGATACATACTTATTTGTTGAATAGATCATTTGTCTCATTATTTTAAAAATTAAATAAAAAATATTTTATTTTTTATTTATTTTAATGTAATAAAACTGTTACTTGCTGCATAACTCACGACTTCTATGTAGGCCCACTTCATTTTTAAATTATCATCATCATCATCATCATCATCATCATCATCATCATCATCATCATTAGTACTTTCTCGCTATCACTTACGCAGTAGAAAGAAAATTATGTAATGCTGCATGAAGTAATAGCATATTTTCAGCAGAAAAACTCTTATTATAAGGCCCTTTGATGAAAAAGAATGACATCTTCTGGTTTCTTGTTGTTTGCAGATGCTTTCAAATTATACACAAAGATCAGATCACTTGAGAATTGTATATTGCTCCAGTGTGAATTAAACTCACTAACATTGTGGTGTACTGAAATGAATACCACTTAATATTTCAAAATGTAATATGTATCATTTGGATTAAAAAGGTCACGCACATGCAATTTTTCATATTTCACAACATTAGCCAGTTTCAATTTTGAATGTTTACTGTTACTTGTGAACTCAAACAGAACATGAAAAAGACAAGAAATTCACTCAAAAAACGTTAAAACAATAAACACTGAGAAACAAGAAAAGTTTGTCTCCAAATGAACTCGCAAAAACATAATGTAAATTATATATCATCAATTTTATTACTAACTAGACATTTTATACAAGAACTTATAGGAATAAAATAATACCATAGCTTTATACATTATTGATTTTCAATAACATTTCTTCTTTCATAAAAGGATTCTTAGAAAATGACACTATTCAGATGCGGATGTATGTGATTTTTTTTGTTTTTACAAAATGGGTCCATAAGAATAGTGTTAATTTATTTTTAATAATTAAATTTTTTGTATCAGTGATTTTCAAAACTTTGATTAATTTTACTAGGTTTGTGATTAAATATTTTGTACATTAATTCATATCTTGTATTAACGGTTTAAAAGGAACATAGTGTTACACAATTTTTGTTAATTTTATTCTACACCAATTTTTTAAAATTTTATTCTCAGGCAAAGGCAGGACTAATTCGTGAATATGAAGGTCGGTACGCTCGAGTAGAGGAAGATGTGATTGCTGCTGCAACATCTCGTGCCAGTGTAGATGTCAGTTTTGAGAATTGACAAAAGTAGCTGAGTGTGTGTTGTTTCTTTACATCAGAATAGTGCTTCAAACCAAAGGTATGTTCTTCCAGTTATTCATGTATATAAACATTGTTTACTTTCATGCATATTGTTAACTTCTTAGAGTAGGGAAAGAATTGTAATGCTACAGCAAAAATTGGGCAATTTCTCTAAAGAAAAGCTCATAGTTTGGGGCCCTGATATCAAAAAAGTGTATAAATATTGTACCTACGTTTAATCACAGCCTGCTAGTATGCCTAACAGCCAGTGCACTTCGCCGATTCTTATGGGAGCTAGCGAAAGAGAAAAGTTTCACATTGTGGCTACTGGAGTGCTGGTCACCGACCATTTGCGAGACCTTCAGGCTGCTTTAATACATGGAGATATGGCCGCATTTCAGGCAATTTTCGTCACTTATAGTGATATGAGGCATTGCAAATTCATGTAGATGCTAATACTAAACAATACTAAAATTATATATCTCTGTGCAGTTTACTTTAACGAAATTGTATAGTGAATACTTCAAATTAACCCTCAAATAGCATGCGGAAATTACCTGCTTAGTGAGATAGCAGTCATTCTTTTTGGCGTATAAAATACTATATTACAATTATTTCTGATATTTACCTGTATTTTTAGGTGTTTATAGGGAACCATAACGCACATAATGTATCTGAACTCGTCAATGAATGAAAAAAATAAAATAAAAAAATTGCAAACTATTATTTTATTAGTTTTTATACCATTTTTATATTTTCAAACTGTATTGAATCTTTAATCTTTATGTTACACTCTCAAAAAAGGACAAATTCAAAATAGATTAAGTGTTTGTTTTTGAAGAAAAAAATCGCTAAATAACTGGAAGAAACTAGTTCTAAATCAGACGATGGATGCTGATATAAATAAATACTGACACTGCTAGTTCAGTCATCAAAAAGCATTTTAAATCACTGTTGCCCTGGCATAAACGTTCTCACCTAGAGATGGAATCAAAAAGTTAGTAACTAGCGAAATTCATATTTGTGCTCTCATGGATGGACAAGAAAAACTAACTATAATCAACTGTCAAATTTTCAATAAAAGCAATTGAAGTACAATGTAGAAATTATATCTAATCCTTTGCTTAGGCCGCTTCCAAATTCCACAACAATGATGGAGCAATATATCAGACATCAGAAATATAAATCAACAATCAGACATCTTGTGACCCCCTATGACGTTTATGAGAAAATATATTACCTTTTGATTGCCAGGTGTTACAATACGCAAAACATCCAAAAATGTATCAGACGATCATTCCCAGTTCTTAAACAAGTTTTCTCATTGAACTAAACTGGAATCGTTTGTGCTATTTGTGAGAGAATGTGTGTGTGCATGTGTGTGTGTTTGTGTGTTGTTGCTTTTGCTTCTTTGTATCAAATTTTGGGAATAAATTGAATTGTTAGGTAGCCAATGTAAAGGGTATGTATTTTATTAACGTTCAAAAACATTAAGAATGCATGTTAATATTTATTTCCTCTGTGAAGATACTTAGCATGGGTGGTTTTTGACATCTTATATGAATCTGTCTCATCTTTAAATAACCCTGAAGATTATTGGTGGAAGAGCAATTTATCGTGAAAGCTGCAGCACATTTTCCAAGGTTTGTTGTGAAAAGAACCTTCAAAAATATATTAAACTAGCTTTGCAAAGAAGCTGTACATTTAAAAACAATCATTGACATAATTTGTGAACATTTTGTATCAGTGATTGTGAAGAGCATTGCTCCTGTTACTATGGAAGTAATTGAGAGGCCTAAATACTTGAATTCAAAGCCTCTAAGTTGAAAAGTTCTGTGTTTGTAATGCAGATCTCCATACATTTGCATGCAGAAGCTGATCGAGGAATAATGGCAAGCAGCGCGCCATCACCAGTAGTGGGACTTTTAGCTATAACAAGAAGTAGGTGGGAGCGCCAAGGCTTTTATGCATACTAGCAGGCTATGGTTTAGTAAATTACTTCCTTTTGACAATTGTGTAGTCATAATCTATGTATTGTAGGTCCTTGAGATCAAAAAATTGATTGATGGCAAAATGACAATCAACCATCCAGACAATTTTCTCCAAAATCAATATTTGCTCATCACTCTCACCAAATTTGAGGCCCTACGAATTTGAGATAGATATTTTGGTTAACGGGGGTTCTTCACAAGAAGACAACAATATTTAAAAATTAAAAATTCTAAAAAAATTAATACTACAATATTGTTAATGGAGAGATTTTTTCATGAATGAAATCTATTATCAAAAAATTTGATGTTTAAATAAGGTCAAGTACAATTTTTTATCACATTACAGCAAAACGTCGTTGTAAGAGACCCCATTATAAGTAAATCAACCTTGTAGGAGACTAAATTGACAGTCCTTATGTCGGTTGTATATAAGCAATTTAAGAGACCCTCCATGTAGGAGATTCCCACCTATTGTGCACATTATTCTATTCCCTGCCATGTGTTTGTTCTCGCATGGAAGAGACAAAACATTGAATATGTGACTCTGGAATTTCGTCAGCTTTTAAGGGTTGAGGCACATGCTTAAAATAGAATGGAGCAGGGTTTTGCATCACCAGTTCCACAAAGGGGGAAGTTGAGGAAAGCTCGTTGTGTAAGCTTTTGTCTCTTGGTAACAAGCTAGTCACTGCAGTGCCTACACTTTTCCATTTGTTTTTATTGCTGTGGAGCTCTTTTCTACCACATGTATACAGAATTTTATTTTACTTTGGTGCTTTCAAACAGTTTCTTATTTTCATGGACAATCTTGCATGAACATACAATAGTACTTCATGTATAAATTTGAACACTCAGTTTTTTGTTTTGTTTTGCCTTCTATGGATCTGCGAGTGATGTCATCGAAACAAAATATTTTGTCATTGACCGAGAAGTTTGACATAATTTAAAAAATCGACAAGTGTAAAGGGCAATCGCAGAGAGCTGATGAAAAAACTCTGAAGACACCAGTTTTTCCACTCGAAAAAGTTTTCCAGAAGAGAGAGAAAATCCTTAAGAATTTCTATTAGGAAGATGGGTACCATGAACAAAATTTGTTGGTCACCATTCATGGAAACGGAAAAAATTATTTTGCAGTGGTTTCAACAGTGCAGAAGTGTAGGTGTTTCTGTTGCTGGGAACATTTTGCGGAAAAAGGTGGGAGTTTTATATAGAAAGAATAATAACAGGTGTTCTCTCTTCTATCATACAACAGAATTTTGCTGTACATTGGAACTCCAAAGATCTGGGTAAATGGGCTCTGGTATCAAGTAATTAATGTTTTCTGAAGTTTAACACAGTGTACAAATCATACACCTTTAAAAATATGGTAACGTTTTATGAAACATGTCTTATATGAATTTCCCACAAAGAATTCCCGCTTGTAAGAGACAAAACTCCATTCCCCCTGGTGTCTCTTATAAAGGCGTTTTGCAGTAGGTTTGTAGTAGTTTTCACATAATATTTGCTTTAAGTAAGGGCATTTTTTAAAAAAATATATTTTTCTTGACATTTTCCTCTCTAATTGAACAAATAATGTGTTAAAAATATGGGGAAAAAACAAGGATGCAGGACTAATTTCTGTTTCTGACTGAATTGTATATGAATTTTCAAATGCCAAGAGGTATGTGCTGTTGTAGTTCACGTAGTTTCCGTTTGTGATATAATTCTTAAATGTTCATTTTAGTTTTGTTAAACATGAAAAAATTTGGGAAATTTGTATTGTTTCCTCATAATTTCTTGATAATTAGTGTACACTGAGTGAAGATAGTTATATAATGCTGCAAAAAGCAATGATGGGATTTTTAAGCAAATTCTCTTTTCCAGGGTTTCTGAAAAAGTATTATTTTCAATAATATTCTATCTGTGTGTCAGTTGGTCTTTCCATTCAGAAAAAACACATGCATGTGAGCTGAACTAATATTAATATAATGTAATGGATGTACTATTTCGTAAACAAGTGAATCAAAGATATTGCAAATTTCGATTTTGTTTTATCTTGTAAGGAAACCTAGGCTACTTCTTTATTGATTTATTCTATTAGACAGTTACAGCCAACAAACAATCAACTTGCTACTTAATTTTGCAAATGTTTGTAAACTTCTATTAATTACTATTTGCACTTTATTCTGGCCTGTAATTTGTGCATTTTATTATTTCAAATAATAGTAGAGTGTTAAAGAAACACATTTGGAAAACTTTCAAGAAAATTATATTTAAAATTAATATAGATTTAAATCATAACAACTCTAGCCCTTATCCATATATTTTTTAAAAAAGAAGAAAAAGTATTTTATTTCTTGGATTTAATTGTCATATATACATCCCGGGTCTTTGTTGTAACTTGCAATCCATGTCTGGTAACATCTGTCTTAGTTTGGCAATTTGGCAACCATTTGTCTTTGCCTCCTTTCAAGCCAACTGTGGCTGGCACGTTGGGACAACACCCATCAAGGTGGGTGGGTCCACATCCTGATAGGGAATGCAGAGAAAGATCTCGTGTGTTCCTTTGCCCATCTTTTATCGTCTTGCTTTTCATTTCATATGTCACCAACGTTCTTTTATTACCCCCCTTAACTTCGTCACTGGCCTTTTAATGCTGATTCTATTTTTACTCCCCAAGGTTGTAAGCCCTGAGGGATGGGGTGAAATGGAGTTGATGATGAAATGATGGAGATGATGAAATAGACACCCACACACACTCAAACAAAGAGACACACATACATTATTATTATTATTATTATTATTATTATTATTATTATTATTATTATTATTATTATTATTATTGTGATCATGATTATGATAGACATGGTTGGGTGATGACGGGGGTTGAAAGGACTAGGATGATGGAGGGAGGTGAGAGGGGTTTCTGGAATTTGGGAACCATCCCAGCATTCACCTTATGAGAAAGGGAAACCACAAAAACCTCTGTCAGGATGGCTGGCCCGGGATCAAACCCGGACCTCCCAATTGCGAATCCAGCATACTACACACTGAGCTACTTTGCTTGTTTGTTTGTTTTTTCCGTCACAAGTAGGCTGGCTTAGACCACAGATGCATGCACAATTAATCATGGGATCAGCATTTAGCTACATCCAATTTTTATGTCCCAGGATTTGCTAGCCTTAGGGATATGGAAGATGAAATAATGATGATGGTGATGATGATGATAGTGAGGGGTGAAAGAACAACACACACACATACAGACATACACAACTTAACCATGCCTGAGGCGAGACTGGAACCCGCATTCTTCCGGTCCGAGACGGCTATGGCATTACTGCCTTGGCAATCGTGGCCATCTGATTGACGACTATTATTATTATTATTATTATTATTATTATTATTATTGTTCTTGTTGTTGTTATTATTGATGTTGTTTTTGTTGTAAGAAATTTTTATTACATTAATAAAAATATAAATTATTAAAAAATTAATAATTTTTGAAAATAAATTTTAAAAAATAAAATATTATTTCCTTAAAATGACAATAAACTGACCTTAGAGTCAATTCCCAAAGTGACCACCATTTGCATTGCGAGAGGCATTTACTCTTTTCAATGTAGTGGCCGCAACACGTTGATAAGGAGTTGAAAGGGTAAAATAAGTTTCTTCTTTTTTCCAACTAAAATTAGTCACACTCTCCCAGTTCAAAATCTGAGGCCATGCGGCCGTGGGTTACTGAAAGAAAAAAGGGATGCCGAAGGTTTGTCATGCATTGTCAAATTGCCAAAACAAGAGCAGGTGTTCCCAGATATTCAAGTTAAAATAATGAGCTGGTATATGCTTGTCTCTTAGTAGGCACCTGCTCTCTATTAGTCTTTTTATTTCCCCTTGATGCTTTTCTAAACTATTTACACATTATTTGCGACTATGTAATTGTTTTCAAACCTTATGTGTTTATTTGTATCTGTGTTTTCTTGAAACATTTATTGTTTTTAGTAAAGATTTTAGTATGTTCGTTTTCTTATTGAGACAGATGTGTAGCTTCCATGCTTGTAATAGCATGGAGATGGCACGGACAGTGCTAGGCTGCAACTACTCTTTGAAGCAAGTGCTTGGCAAGAGTGGTGTTCAACATGGGTGCATCGGACCAGCATTGATGTGACTTCATGTCCAGTCACTGTTGGCACAGTGGTTCATCAGACATCAAAATAGGACAATCAATATAAAACACTTGTTCTCAAGCAATACTCATCCAAAATGTAGTAAGTAGAATTTAAAAATAATATTCTCTCCTTTACTGACCCCAAATATGCAGATTATAATACAGTGTTGAGTTGGAATGTATGAATTATATTTGAAATTATTGGTAAATGTCACTACACCCCATAGATATTGTGAAAGTATAACATTTTTAAAATTTAGATTTGTTTTAATGTTTTATAAATACACAAACTTTTTTGTATTTATATTCTTCAAACAATTTCTCTTCTAAAATTGAAATAATTGTCTCTAATGTGCACTCTCCTAATTTTTTTGATGTATTTGTGCATTTTCCATAAGTCATTTTCAGTATTGAGAAAAGAATGAAATATGTAGAAAAATGTCCCGTATTTGCATCAATATTAAAGAAAGTAGCATTAATAATAGGGATGTGAGCATTGCCAGCAAGGTTCATTAATTTTGCTTGACAGTGTGTGATTATTGCATCTGCAATTTCTTTAAACATTGTGTCTTACAGTTACATTTCTCTAAAATCATATTGTGGAAAAATCTGCACTTGCCATTTCAAATTTTCTTCCTACTTTATTCCAGCTCAGCATTCTCAATTTTTTCATGTACATGCTCTTGCATACTCATGAAAATGTTAATCACACTTACACTATCTGTTGTAAATTGGTACACTTTTGGATGGGTATTATGCAACTTCACTTGTTGAAATTTTGAGAGATGCATAGGGCACTATTAAAGATTGGTACCAATGTTACATACGACAGTGACAAAATGTGAAATCAAACCACTTAAATCATAGCATTGTGTGTATTCTCTTCTAGCAGTCATTAATGTACTTTATAGTGCAAGCTGGCAATGAGATGTAGCCCCCAAATTTGTAGTAAAAGTCATGACTGTTGGAAAGTTTGAGAATATTAAATGCTGATAAATCCTCTGGCAAAGGAACACAGTGCCCTCAAAGCATATAGAACGTGGTACAATTTCATACTTGTCACATAGTGTATACTCACAAACTAATTTTTTATGAATTTTTTAATATTTTATGAACAAGACAATCAATCCCATAGTTAGTGGCTGTGCCTACATATAGGATACAGAATGAAAGTAGAAAATGGGTAATAAAATGTTTCCAAAACAAAATTAACTATCAAATCTGTAGAAGTAAAAAGTGTGTTTTGGTAATATTCTGTACAGTGTATCCATATTTTGTCTAAGTAAATTTGTAGGTTTTTATATTTTCTATATTATCCACTTCTTTCTGTCTGTTCTTGTGTGTATATTCTGTAGAGGTGGAAATGTTTGAACATTGTCCTATAGCCTGAGTCGGGGTGTGGGAGGGGAGTCAAAACATTTTAATATAGACTGACCAAAGTAGTACTGCTTTTCACAAAAAAATATTAATTCCATTTCAGTTTTTCATAATGCAATATGAATTGTTTTCAGAAATGTGTAGAACTGGTGTTGTTTAGAACGCACGTAAACTTCCAAAATTTGTATACATTTTTCTATATTTGCATGCTTCTTGAAGCTGTTCCGTGTTCACAGAGACAGAAAATCTCTACATCCATTTTACAAGTTTAATACAAAATAATTGTAGATTTTCCCCTTTTATTCTTCAAATAACCTTTTCTAATGTTATGGAAATTTTCTTAAATTATAAAGCCTTATATGGCTTTGTGTATACATTTCTGCCCTTCATATCTTTATCAGAGGTAGAGAATTCTTGAATTGGAATTATAATTGCACAACTTATTTCGCACAATTAATAGGATGTGATTGTCTTTTGAAAACATTTTTGTTCCTATTGAATGTATTAGTGATTATAAGGGGCATTATAAGTTTATAAACCTGTTTAGCACAACATTCAATTTGTCAAAATTTGTGTGAAGCCTAGGATGTCAATGTACACAATTAATTGTTAATTTGTTGCAAAATAAGGTGAGTAAAATGCAATTTTCATTTTTATTTTCTTGCAATAAAAATGTCTGTCTTTGTGATAATAATACAACCAAATATATTCAGAGATTTTAAATTAATTTACCACTCATTAAACAATTTGAAAAGTTAAGAGTATATTTGGGTAGTCCTACTCTGTGCAGGGTATTATACAATGGTACATACGTTAATTAATACTCACATTATTGCATTGTTTATTTTCTTGCCAATTTACTGTGATCATAACTGTACAACTTATTTTTTGTTTTTTATCTCAAAATGAGTGAGAATGCATGTGTTCAAAACAATCATACATGCTAATGTACTTACATTATTCTTCATTACAAACATTTCTTTAAAGAATATGTTAGTGACTAAATATTCTAATGGTCACAATTATATTTTATTTCCTAATGGATGTTGATTTACTATTATGAGACATTAAGGAAATTCTAGCTGATCAGTATATTTCATGCCTAGAAAATTAATTTGCATTAAATGCATTTAGACTTGCAGTAATTTCAGTATTTGTAAGTTCTACGTATTTACAGTTGCTAAGGTGTAGAAAGGAAAGTTTTTGTTCAATAGATGTTACACTTATTGTACAGTAATTTAAATTCTGCTGTGAAAGATGTTTTTAATCCATACATTTACTCTGTTTTATTAGTGAAATGAAGTTTTAAATTTTTTTCTGTGTAATGGCTATAATGCTGGGTATTGCCCAGTTTTGATCTATTTATTTATTTTTTTATTATTTTGGGTATGTACCTCATTGATAAGTGTATATTACTAGTTCACAGGCTAGATTTCATATTTTATTAATTCTCCATCAGATCTTCAGTAGTTCTCAACCTGTTTTCAATTTCATTTCATTTCTTCTTGTCTCATTGTATTTTATTAATTTTTCTGCATGTAGGAGTCCCCGTTATATCCATGAATTTGAACCCATGGTAGATTGAGCCTACTCGTGTCACACTGTGGGTCAGAGAAGGGAATGACATTCACTTGAAAATTAAACCACTCAAGTGCATGTTAAAAGAAAATTAACAATGCATTTTCCATTTCATTATTATGTAATTTGTATAGCTCAAAAATGTTATCCTTTATGAATTTTTTATATTTATTATTATGCTTCGTTTAAATATCTTTATTTATTGTTATGCGTTATTAGAAATGTTGAAAGTGAAACTTGCAGATTGAGAAAAGGAAAAAAGTAATTCATGACAGGGCATAAACAATGTAATACCTAGAAACTAGCATTTCAAAACAGTAAAAGACCATATAAACTGTAATCTAACTTTGACCTTTTTGTCAGTTTTCTCTAATAATCTTTAACCAATTTGTACTTTGAAGCGGTTCATATTGCTTTAATCAAAATTAGAACAAAAAGTAGAATTAATGTTCAAAATCACAATACTAAAATATTTGTTTTATAAAATACTCATTGAATATGTTTGTAACAAAAAAAAAAAAATACTTAGTACGCTGTAGGTCAAGGATGAGCATGCTGCTCACTTTTTCTAGTTTGACCCTTCTGACTTTCAAATATTAACTAGACGCCACCACATACTGTTAGAACACTTGAGCTAAAAAAAAATAATCATGGCTAATGTAATATAAAAGTGAGTAATATGTGCTTACCCCTTGACCTACAGTGTTAATGGCTTTCATCAGTCGTGATTGAATCATTCATCCTAGCTATATTGTTTTTTGTTGTTATCTGGGCCTTTTTCTGTGACTTCATGTATTCTTTTACTAGAATTTTTATATTTCGTTCTGATATTTCTATTTTATGTAATTTTCTTTCAACTGGCAACATCTCTTCTACCAGTGATCGTGATTGTCTTTCATCTAGAGAATCCCATTCCCTGTGTCAGGTGATGAGGGAGGGACTGAGTGGACATCATCCCTCGCCATTTCTTTCTGAGCCACCCCTATCCTTTACAGATTCCTTCTAATTAGAGTGTTGTAAGCTTAGCACACTGCATCATGTACATCTGAAGTCCTTGCTTAGAGCGAGAGCCAAAACGCCCTGATGTCTGTGATGAAGGGATATAAATTACATTGGCGTAAATTATTTTGAGATATAAGCTCAGGAAAGAAATGAAATGAAAACCAGTCTTTGTAATTGTATCTAAGCATCTTAATACATAAATATAATTTTATAACATAATGAAATTCATGTCAATTAGCACTACCCAGATTAATTCATATGAGATAGTGAAATAAATGTACTCGAATAAAAGTGTAATTATAATTTTATTAATAGTCCAACACCAAGCCAGATCATCTCTAATAACACAATACAACATTAGTTGCCCACTGTCCAGAATCCAAAATCAAAGTTCAAATAATTCAGTAGCATTGACCATAATAACCTGGTGAAAATACCAACATAACAGTCACAAGTACAATAGCAGCAGTGAATGTGTCTGATGAGCGCATGAACTGTAAAGGTGAATTTCTCTTCTCTTGCTCCTTATATCACGTCCTCATCAGGGGAAGGGCTCTCCTCTCCTCCTTGCTCTATGTCATCTGGTGTGCCTCTTTTTGCTCTCTGCCCCATTCTCCACAGGGGAGAGGTAAAGCTGCCCAGCCTGATGTGTGGGTGCCTCGGATTCAACAATATGAAAGTTGATTGTTAAACTGAGATATAACATTAAATTTATTATTTTTCTTTAGATCTTGAATTAATAACAAATTGAGGTGAGACTTTTTCAGTCTTGTTGGTATTTGGTATTGGCTCTCTCTTAAATATATCCCATTACTAAATTTATACGTATAGAGGTTAGGGAGTTGTGAGAGATGTTGGCATACAAAAAACCAAGTTGATCATTCATTCAGTAATGTCAGCAAAAAGTTGCATAATTAATACCTGCTTTCTTATTAAAAGTATTCACTTTCTGATTATTAGTAAGTCAATAACATGTCTCACATTTGTGAAACAGCATCCATTGGAATATAGATACTAAATAAAGACTTGATCACATAAAACACAGCATATTTCATGTGTCATCTAATGCATTGCTCGCTGAAGCAGCCTTCACTGAACAAGCTGATAATGTTTGTATATGAATGTAGATAAAAGTAGCAGTAATTAGGTTGGTAGACGTCAGTGATGAGGAATTGTTTTGTCGTTGAATTAGGTTTGTACCAAATCATTACAAGAAATTAAAAACTTCTAGTAAAAATTTAACATCATGGAAATTAAAATTCCAAAAGAACTGGTACTGCAACTGATGTTAAATATTTCTCTTACATATATCAGTGCTGCAGGTAGACAAACTAATTGCAGCCAAAGAGACACAAGTATTAAATGTTGAGTTTTTCTACTTAAGAAAATGTATTCATCTATTTTATTTTTATTTCAACTGTGAGGCTGTGAACTCTACAGACATTGAAATGGGTATGCTGTTACTTATGTGATTGGATTACTGAGAAAATTTTATATTGTAGAAGTTACTAAAATGCTCAAAATTTTATTTCTCATATCAAATGCAAATGTGAATGCAATTGTGTTGCCATGGCCTAAAGATTTTCCATGTATTGTATGGCTTATCATACTGTACATTTATTGTATATCTTGTATATCTTAGTGAAATTATTTTAATTACATAATTATTATATAAATATTGTTGTCAGAGGTAATAACCAATATGAGATTCATTATCTCTTGAGACATTGTGTACTTTATCCCAGATGATGAACTATCAGCAAAGAAAAAGTAAATTTCACTAATTTTAATATTCCTGAGTACTTTTTTATGTTTTATGTCTATGCAGCTGTATGCATAGAAAATTTAACATTTTTAAAATTATTATTATTATTATTATTATTATTATTATTATTATTATTATTATTATTATTATTATTATCATGATGAAATTTTGGATAACTAACTTAATATACTGTAGCAAAAGATTGAACTTCAGTGATAAAATATGATTTGATGTTCATAAGGAGTTTTAGGGACCATTGGATAGATTTGTTTCAGTTTATTCAATAAATGAAAATTTACTATTATGTTTTAATGAAATGTTCATGACAGCTGCATAGACTGATGCTTAAATGTTTTTGACATTTTATTTTATTGTATTAATTTTTTTTCCACATTTCCTTATTAAGTTGCTAAATCAAAGATGATAGCATTGGAAACGAACTTATGTATTCTTAGCAGAGTGACAAACTGTGGGTAATAATGTGCATTTTAGATATAAGTGTAGTTCAGTATTAATACACAAAGAGAAAGAGTTGTAGATTAGATGTACATATTTTTGAGTGTATTGTTTGCCATGAGAGGTGAAATCTACCAGTATCTAAATTTTAATGTTTCATCTGTGTTTTCACACCAGAGGTTGTTCTTCCCATTGTAATTCTATACTTGACATCTTTGTTGCTTTTATTCAATATGTATGTAGGTATAAAAAGGTAAAGTGAAAGTTTTCTCTTGCTGTGTATACCAAGCATTGTTGGCATACAGTGTGTGTTGTTATAGGTGGATTTTCAATCAGAATCTTTAAATGTATGGTTTTATACTCAATTTCGGAGATTTTGTGTAGTATGTTGTAAAGCATACCACTCACGGTCTCACTTTATTGTAGGAATGCTTTTGCAGTGATGTTTGCTCTTGTGGGCCCTAGATCTGTGTGTTAGCGCAAATTAGTTTGAATGTTGAAGGATAAATAAGATTTGTTACTCGTTAATTGTTGGTAATGTTATTGTTAATGTAGACTAGGAGTATATTTGTGGTGTGGCTGTGGAGAGAAATATATTTTTTTAAGTTTTCTGCAGCCTGAAACCAGAAAGTTTTGACTTTCCATATGTTCTCAAGGCTACTTCCTTGTGGACTGTTCTGTGTCTTGAATGATATCGGCCTATTTTTCCATATCCTCTAGTTTACATGACAAAGTTATTTATGACTGTGCAATATTAAAATATTTGATAATAATGATCTGAACTCTGTTCTTAGAATGAAATCATGATTTAAGAAGTTGACTTCGAAGTGATTCTCTACTATCAGATTTCATATTCATTCTCTGCTTTTCTTCCACTATCATAATGTTACATTTGTCTTCCGTGGGTTCTTTTACCTTTAAATATTATGTATTATTTTTTCAGTGCCAAGAGTATAAATATTTTCTTGAAATATTGTATAGAGAGATTGTAAGTTAGTAACTAAAAAGTTTCTACTATGTTAATTTTCTTTTGTATAATATTTTTATGACCTTGCAGTGATTTTATCTGTGTTATTTCTTTCATAGAAATTTTGTCTTGTGACCTGCCAATAATGTAGTTCATTTTTTATTTTAAATTATATTTGATTTTTTTATTAATGTGCTATTTTCTTATTAATATGTTCTCCTGTGTTTAATTTTCTGTTTGCTGAAACAACAAGCATGCTTCTTAAAGATTGTTTGTTTTACTATTATCTTTGTAATATGTTCCTCCCTTATTGTAAAACTACGTCACAATTGTTTGTACTTGTTTGTAAATCTGTATTTTTTAAGTGCATGATTTACTTATTAAGTATCTCAGGTTTTTCTTGTACATTTCTAATGGTTTCTTCTTGAAAATATAAGACATTTTGTTCTATAAAATTTGCAACTTCTTTTCTGAAAATAACGGATTGTTATGTTATTTCCTCAAATATCATTTTTTCCTCCATTGAATGAAACTGTTTTAGTATGTCTGTGTAGTTGTGATGTTAGTTTTGAAAGCTTTAATTTTTTGTTTGTACAACTGTTGTCCGTTTTTATTTACATTACAGCTTTTCTTCGGTATGGTGAATAGCTAACTAAACTGACTTTTAATGAATTATTTATTAAGATAATTTATTTCAATTCTCAGTATTTAATTTCATTTAATTTGTCATTAATTTCTCTGAAGAAATTAGAATTAAACTGATGTAGAAGCATGATCCATTGGTTAATTGGAAACCTATTTTCGAAAGAATAGAGTTTAAATTCACAATGCTCAATGCAGTTGTAAATTATCTGTATCTGAAGAAAATACACATTAAGAATTATTTTTTGTAGTAGCTGGGATTCTATCTCAAGCATCTTAACCTAGTTTTCATTCTCAATTCTGTGGAAGAAACAGAGAGCTATTAAAATTGAAAGGTAATGAACTTGGGGGGGGGGGGTTGATAATGAACTCACTATCCCTCACATTACTCAGGGATGAACCATGAATCTTTGGACTACATGAACTGTTTCATTCAGACAAATGAATTAATTTTATTTTATTTCGTATTTTGCTGGTGTGCATACTTGAAATTGCATTAAAATTTTACATTAGTTTTTGCATAAATTTCAATGGGTAATTATCTCAAGTTTTATCCAAATATTTATATTTTATGCTCTAGCTCTTTTTTTTCATGTACAGCTGCATTAAGCAAATTTCAGAAGTACATTATGTCACATAATCTAAAGCAAAACGATATTATTTTCTACCTAATTTTAACCCAAAAGGTAAAATAATTTGTATATATTATAAGTAAATAATTTTAATTTTCTGGTAAAATATTTTCATTCCTTTTACAAAAGTTTAAACATAAAGACTAAGGTGACTATGTTATCAGTAAATATTAAAGCATTTTAAGGAATTATTTAGTTACTTAAATTTTGTGTTGCACGTCTTTAAAAAGGTACTTTGGAAATGTAAAGCTAAAAATCCTATATATTTTTTCACTGATAAGAGAACTTTGACAAGTTCATTCATTTAACTTCTGGACTTTCACCTTTTTATCGATGCTCATTGCGGTTCTTCATTAGTGGTGGTAAATATGTTTTCTTCTGATTTAAAAAACTCTGTTTTTTTCTCAGAAATTGTGAACATATCAGTTGATTTTAGATTTTATATTAATTTATTGTCTTTAAGTGTGTTCAGAGTTTTAAGGATTACAATAATTTAGTTCAGATATTTAGGGAAAATATGATGATTACTTTGGCTCTTATAATTATTAATTTCTAGCAGGAAGGAGAATCAATCTTGGGGCAAGATTCTGATTTGAATTTAAAATTGGAATATGGATTCTATAATAATCAGGGTTATCATGGATGGTATCTTCAGTAAACTGTTGAAGCAATGTTACATTTTTAGCAATGTAGATTTTTATTATGGATGATTTATTTGAGATGAATGATAAAGAAAAATATTATTGAAAGAAAATTCAGATTAGTTTCCTTATATTTCACTGAACAGTTTCTGTTGGTTGCTTGAATGTTGTTGTTTTTTGTTTTTTAATTTCTATTGTAGGGAGAAAATTATACGATTTGTGTACCATTCATTACTTTAAAAAATATTCTGTAATGTTTTTAATCTGCGTTGTATCAAAAAGAAATAATTTTTTGCTACTCCATGAAAGGTATACAATATATAGGGCACATTGCTAATTAGAAATGGAAATAAATTATTTTAAACCATAAAGTGATATATAACTATTATATGCAGTGTTAAAAAGATCATATAAAAACGTAAATTAACTTTAATAATATTATTTATAATAATGATAATAATAATAAAGAATAATGAATTTCACAGACTGTTTTTGTCAGTATCTTAAATATTTGAGGGGGGCCTTAGAGATAATGGACGTAAAGCTTTGTGAATACTCTACCAAACATTAATTTTACAAATTTAATGTACTTTGATGATTGATAAGGAGACAGTCTTCATTCTGGGTGTAATAAAACAGGTTTTTTAAATCCTTGATCATAGTGATTTATTACCAGAAGTATTTCAGCACATTTTGTACTAGGGACTTTGTCATTTAGATGATAGGGTTCTGATGCTCGTTATATGATGTGTGGTTGAGATTTCATAATTGTCCTACTTCCAAGGATCTCATGGGTACAAAAATAGGGTGATGTGTGGGATTCTTTAACTTAAAAATCTTAGTAATATGATATTGAGCTCCTCTCACGGGTGATATTCCTTAATAGTTTAAATATCCTGTGTCTGTGCATTTTGCCAGTCATCTATGAGTGATTACTGTGACAGTATTTAAATGTAAGAAATCAGGTAATTTAGGACATTTTCAGAGTTGCTGTTGTTTCTTTTTTCTTAAGTAACATAATTACCGGTCTTTTTGGTTTTCAGATGTTCAACAAGTGCATTTATTCTCTTTAAGTGTGCATTTCTTTTTACTTTTTTACATTTTTTTACAGTATTCTTTATTCCTATTGTAAATGTATCGTAAGCAGTTATTGATGTGCAAATGTTAATGAGGGTGTATAAAGGGAAGGCAAGGAAAGATATGTCCTGGAAAGACTTAGAAAGATACCAAATCATCCCAAAACATACCTGGAGAGAATTAGGGAATTGTCTGAAAGTTAGGCTGTTCTGGATGTGAAGCATGAATGTTCTAGATCCAAATTCCAAGAGCTAACCATTCAGTTAATTTTTTTGATATTTTTTCCCGTGCGCCATCCTAGAACTTTCCCAGTAATTGTTGATTGCTTGCATATCAGTAGATTCAGCTGCAGTATTCATCATTGATGATATTGTTGGATTTTCATAATGTATTCTTTCTATTTAGGATTAAATGGTACTAGAAGTACGCGTATTTTGTGTATTGTCTATTTACCCTCTTCAAGTATTTATCGTTTTTGTTTTTCTTGAATGTGTACTTCTTCACCTGTGTGATATAATTATTATTGCACGAGTAATTACTTTTTTAGTTCTCATATTAAATTAAATTTTATTTTAATCTGTTTCTGTATATGTGCACATGTACATATAAACATTACACATACACTTGCATTTTTTGGATGTAGAATGGAGTAGACAACACTCGCTGAGTTTATAGAAGTTGTTGGAATTGATCCCTTTAAATCTTCCCTTAAAGAAATTATAAATTAGAATGTGTATTATTGCATATGAAAATATTCAATTGTGTTCATAATGTGCAAGTACCATATTTGTCAGTGACAGAGAGCACAAGACACATTTTCAGACACTGTTTTTCAAAACTAGGACGTTTTTCAAAACTAGGACGTAGGCAATACTTTAGGTAAACACAGCTTCATTTTGTGAAGAATTTTGATTTTCGGAGCCCATCAAATTAGAAAAATTAATTTTTCCTAAATATTTATACTTATGAATATATTATTTTATTATATTATTTTATTATAATAATATATTATACTGTTGTTGGTTTCGTATTGGGACATTTTATAAGTCAAAATATAAAATTAATGTGGATGCAAGTGTATAAAATGTGTCAGAGCAGTACATCATTCATACCAAAAAAAATAAAAGTATTGATTTTACCAAGGTTTTTGGTTAACGGTGATATTATATCAAATAAAAAAACAAAAATTGAAGTATAGTATTTCACAGAAATGTGCACAAACAACCGAACAGCAGTTTGTATATTTGGAAACTCATATGCAATGCAGAAAAGTGGCGTGTGTATAAATCAAAATACAGTGTGGACCATTACAGGAGGTAATAATTTTTCACATATGCAGACTTTGTTAATCATGTGTACAGTTTACTTCACTGCTTACAAAGCTTACATTAATGTTTCTGTAGTGCTTACCTGTGTGCTGGTGAATATATTGAAAATGGGCTTATACAAGAAATTGTTGATATTCTTGTTCTACCGCAAATGGATAAACTTCTAGTTCGGTTTCTTCTGTTTTTTATTAGTTTTCATAGCATTGATGTATTGTGGCTAATGATTACATTTTCCTTTTGTTTTTAAAAGCTTAATATCTCAGCATGATATTTAGAAATAGTATATATTACTGTACATTGTATGATATAGTTTAGCTTGCTAGCATCTGCACTGCAAGCAATGTCAGAAACTAGATCTCAAAGAGAACCAATAAATGAGTTTTGGCTCTTACTGCTATACTTCTTCCCATAAGGAACCAATATAGTGCCATGATGTAATGATTGTTGAAGCTTTCATGTGTGATAAATATTTGGGACATTGTTGTTCCACTTTTGAAGTATTAGTACTGTTATTTGGAGTATCACATAAATTAGACATGACATGTGGCAGGGACATTTGAATTATGCAGGAACTGAAGAAATCTTTTATTTGGTTAAAATTATTTATTTTAATTATAAATGTGAATGGTTAAAATGCTACAGCATTTTATGATAGGATGGTGCACAAATAATTACAAATTTGAGGAAGCTGCATAGAAGAAAAAATGTGTATATTGATATATTTGTTAATTATAATTATGTTATCAGACCTGATCTTCCCTCATTAGTATATGTTTTTAAATTCAGCTTTATGTTTGAAAGAATACATTATTCTCTGTAGTCAGTGAAATTAAATGGTATCTCTCTACACTTCTGAGAAAACATTCTTTGTAAGTACTTGACGAAACTGTATAAATGATTCATGTGAATTGCTGAATGTATGGCATTTCAAAAACACAGTGTGCACAGTCTGTAATGAATGTAATTCCTCCTTTTTTAACTGCTATTAGTGTTACTTCTGCTTACTGCCATGTAAAATGGAGGAATATGTTATAAGCTTCTAAATGTCAATCAAGGACAGGTAAAAAATATTTTTTGATTAAAATGATGATATACCACTAATTCTCAAGTTGAATGTGATAAATGTAATGATTTTACTATAATTTTTATTAGAATAGGAATTACATTTTCAACACCAAGTCTGTGGTAACACCATCTTTTATTCATATGTGGTACCTCTGTGTGACTAGAATTTTTTATCAATGTTATTGCAGACTCAAAGTAGTCCAGTACATAATGAATACTCCTAATGTGGTTGTCCTGGTCGATTGTTTAAGTGTTGTATCTGCTTCAGTAGAATGAGAGTTGTGACAATAACTCCACAAAGAACAAATCCCAAACTCTGTTATTTAATCTATTTGTTGTTTATAATATGTTCACAAACCTATCAAAGATAGGAAGAACATATAGTTCTATCTATTTTTTAAGTTTATATCTTGTTAAAAATACTACATTAAAATTGTTTCACAGAGTTACCCATGACATACATTCCATGTTAATTTTAAATGTATAGATGTTCTGTTTCAACTTTCATGCTAGATATTTGTGTAACTGTGTGTTACTGTAGTTAATGAGCAATAAATCGTAAACGTGTGATACCAATTAAACAGTTTGTACTTTTTTGTGTAGTTACATCTATAAAACATCTTTGTTGAAACAGTATCTCGTTTGTAAAGAAAGAAAGGTAGGGGAAAAAATGTCAGTTTTCATTCTTACAGATGACCGTTGAAGTACTAAACTTTACTGCAATTGTAAAGATGGTGGCTTAAAGTAGATTTGTGAAAAATTCAGAGAAAATTCGGTATCTTCACAAAATTCTTCCATTCTGTCAGCATCATGTTCTGTGTTTTTCTATTTCAACAGTAGCAAACATTACTAATGTT